ACTGTAAAGTTCTGAACACCCTAATTCTAGTTTGCAGTACACAAACTAGGTCAGAGTAGGCAAGCAACACCTACACTGATAATGCTCTCAACCACCCCATACCATGAAACCTTAGCCTTGCTTTAACACTTCAACAGGAACAGCCACATTGTTCAGAGGGCAACATCCTGGAGTGCAATCACACTAAATTTTAGGGTTTTTTGTGAAAGTAAGAGTGAAGAAGTCAGAGATTAAATAATGCAAGCTAGAAAAATGTTGGGCAGATTCTTAAAAATTAAAGCTTTCTGGAGGGTCACTGCATGGAATCCCCTTTTAATGATATCAAGCAAAAAAAAAATTAAAAATAAATCCTTGAACTTGACATTTAAATGTAATAATATCACATTACTATTGGCGCCAAGAGAAGTTTAGCCAAAGTATTTGGGCTTTATTTCCCTTTTTGGAAAAAGAGTACACAAAAAAATGGATTGAAGTGTCTTATGACATTAAAAAAAAATCTACTGAAGATTATTCACTTAGTGTATTAAACACATACAGTTTTTATAAGGTGCTTTATAAACTTGTTAAACAATGTCTGCTCTGAGAGTATGTAAAATGGATAGCCTTTGAAATAAAACTTTGTATGTACTGAGATACAACAGCTAGCATCATTAGCTTACTCTAACCAACAGAGTACCAACACAATAAAAAGAGTCAATTACTTGGCTTATAAAAATTTACTGTGTCTACAAATTCTTTCCAATTACATCAAGTGTACCAACTAAAGAAAGGAATAGAAAGTGGACTTTTCTTAAGTCAGCAACAGTTTGCAATAATTCCCCTCTTGTCATCTGATAAAAAACACCAGGACAAGGTTGCCCAGCACAGCATGCTCTCAGCATCAAATGTGATGTGCTTATCGAGAGTAGCAAAGAAAACAATCGACAACCATAAAGTCCAAACCTGAAAAACAAACTTGAGAAGAACTTTGCTTTAGGATTCCAAGGATCTGCTCATGCTTCGCTTGTCTTCTGATTTACAATAAACCCTCTCTTCAGCTGAACACGAAGGGATGAAAGAGATGGATAGGGCAATCTGTTGAGTTGCATAGTGCAATAATGTCTGACGGCTCAGGAAAAGCCCCGAGTTCAGAGAACCAGAAACCCTACAGTTTGTAGGGTGTGATGATGGGTACATTCACTGTGCCCCAGTGCGGGTGCTCCCCATGCAGGAATTGCCTGCAGCCCTCCTCAGTGGGCCACTCCTGCTCTCAGCAGGGCCAGGGGGAGTGGGAAACACCAAGAGGCTGAGAGGACAAACAAGTGCAAACCAGGCAGTAGCAGCTACAGCATCACACCTAAAGTTCAGGAGCAAAATGCATACCAAGAACTCAAAATTAAAGCAAAAAGGCTGAGTTATTGGTACATAGCAACAAGGCTCAGGAAAGAGAGAAAGGAAAAGATGAGCTAAAAGGCTTAAGCTATTTAAACCTAATGAAGACCTGTGATTCACTTGGGTAGCTGAAACTGAAGCAGGGAATGCCTTCAGTTAAGGAGAGTTCACAACAGGACTCAATGGTTAAACTTCATTTATATTTTCTTTAAAGCAGACTGCCTACATCACTGTTACCTGACACTACTCAAAAGGCACAGCACGATGCCATGGCAAGCAGAGAAATGGGCAATGCAGGGTAGAGAGAAAAAGTAAGGTTTAAAAATAAATTTTAAAAGAACACTTTGAGAGTGGTTTTTTTTTTCTTTTTTTTTTTTTCCTTGGCTGTGGCACATGGTCACACAAGTAATTGGATCTTCACAACAGATTGGTTTCCCACTGCTGGCTGTCCCAGCTCACCCTCTCCTGCACCAGCTCTGGTGTTTTTGTGACTCTGGGCTGAACTGCTTCTGTGTTAAGTCAGCAGAAAACCAAGCCAACAAAAAAAGTAATTGGTTTCTGCTGGGATGTCGTGCAAAAACAGTTGAGCACAGGCTGAGAAAGGAGACAGGCTTAGCTGCCCTGGCAATGCAGGCTCAGTCTGGTCAGCTAGTGCATCCACAGTAGCTTTACTGGCACTTGAAAGCTCCAAATGAGGCTTTAATACTATAAATATTTATTCTAGCAAAAACACCATCTTATGTGGCATTATCTCATCTTCCCCCTGTCACACAAAGCTGTTTGCCCAGACACTGTCTGTTGAGGGGGAAGGAAAGGCTTTTTTTGCTGTAGTTGTTTTCAGTCGAGACCAAGTGTCCAGCTGAGCTTGTCAGGTGGCTCTGGGAACAGGTGTGCTGGTGAAACAGGGGCTGCAAGGGACTGGAAACAGGCAGCTGCAGGAAGGAGGGAGCTCAAACCAGGACAGAGAGCTAGAAAAGTCTGTGTTTGTAAAACTATGTTGCAAATTCAAGCCATGCTATTCTCCTCAGTACTGTCCACACACTTAACGGGAAATTCTGCTCTAAAATAAATGTGGTGTAAGTGAATAAAAAAGAATTACAATAAATAGATATAAACACTAAATATATAAAACAAATATATTAATTGTATATTTTCTATATCATCATCCCATCTCACAGTGAGTGAGCTAACGTATGTACATTCAGATATTGATTCTACTATTCAGGAAAGTAATTTAATTGCAGAATATGTCAGAGATTTCTAATGTTCCTGCTTTGGATGCAGCTGAGAGTAATCTCATAGCCTGTGGTCCCTCAAATGTCTCTGCCAGCCACATGGTTCTCTGCAAGATATCTTACTCTACTCCTAGCAGCTTTTGAATTCTTTCCTGAGCTTATATAACTAAGTGACATGGCAGGGCTGTAATCACTCATACAAGATTTAATGAGTGCCAGAGCTAATGCATGAGAACACTCCCAAAAGAGAAATGTGGAACAGTGAAAACTTCTACTTTTAGCAGGAGTGAATAAACTTACGCAGCTACTTCCCTAACTGCAGCATAGCTGTCCTGCACCCTGTCTGTCTGAATTAACTGGAGGATCAGCTTTCCCCTTGGAATTTCAGTGGCCACAGAAGGCTCAGGCAAACTTCTGTGAGCAGGAATGCAGTGGAGTTTCTTGCTACCTGCTTTGCTGTGCAGATTCACAAGGCACTGGGCCCTCCATCTGTATGGATGCCACCTCAGTGTGGACTGGTGAGCACTTTGGAGCTGTCATTTTAGATTTCAGTTGTGTAGGGTAGGACAGGACAGTATTTAATAAACTGTCCTGTCCTATCCTATTTAATAAACCAGTGTTGTCTCTGCCCAAGTGCTCTGACTAGTTACCAGAAAAAATGTATTTTTTAAACCATAAAGCTTATGGTAATTGCAACCATTAGAACAAATATTTACACTTGTGACTACCTGAAAAGTTTATTTAAGTAGGCCGCTCTAAAAACTATTGCTTTTAATATTCTAACAAAGGACCGCAAATCATGCTGAAGTTCCTGGCTCTGCAGAGCAAAGGCAGTCTTATTCTGAAGCCAGTTTCATGGGGATTTGTGTTCTGTGGAATAGAATCTGAACAAGAGCCCTTAGCTGGCAACACACAAAGGTTTTCCTATATTGAAGCTACGCTGCTTTGTCTCCCAGCAGAGAAACTGGAGCCAAAGACAAACAAAGCAGAAAAGAGCGTTAAAGACAAACAGGTGGATAAGACTGAAAAAAGCACAAGAAATGCAAGGATATGCTCTCTGTGCCTGAGGGACACACTCAATGGAAGGGAATCCAAATCTAAGGCAATACATTTTGGACTCTGAAACCTGGATCAAGACTGTTGCCAGCATCCCTTCATTCAGTTAATATACAACTGACTCCTCACTTGAAAAGACTGCACACTGCAGAAACAAAGTCACTTCACATGGCTTATGAAAAATGTTAGCTACCCTAAATTCTTTTGCTCTTCATTCCACAAAGCCATGTAACAATGAACATGGCCCAATGAAACAGGAATTCACTATCATTAAATAAATGCATTCAGAATGCAAAATGTTCTTCTTTGAATGCATGTTTGATTAATAGAGGGAAAAACCCAGACCTTTAAGATGTACAACACTGTAAAAAACAATCCTTTCCTGTATGTAGGTATGACATAAGCATATGCATGCATGTTTCTCTACTAGTTTAAGGGGGCTAGCATAATAAACCTCATTTTTTCACATTGTTGCATCTTGTCAAGAGCATTGTTCCACAGGTACTCAAACCTGTTCCACAGGTACTCAAACTTCAGCTTTAGGATTAATGTAATCCAACCTGGGTGTTCAGGACTCAGAAAAGAATGGCTGCAGCAGTGCAAAGGCATCACCAGTGAAGGGGCTGCAATGCCCCTTTTATTTAATTAATTCTAAGGTTTAAACACTCACAACAATTTTTATAAAAGCTAGTTCATTGTTCAGCCATGAGTTTATTTTGCCTGCAACTGTAAGCTCTGTGTGTCTATTGTTGCTTGTGAAGGCTGAATTCCTAATATAAAAAGAGTCAGCCCACTCAAATGCTTTCATGGGAACATAAGGGCCTCACGGTGAGGTTTGACAATGCAGCTGGACCAACCAAATGGCTCACAGCCACTAAAATTCTCACAAAATGAGGCAGAATTAATATTTTCTCTACCTTGCCTCTGCACTGGCTCAGGGGCACCTGACCTCTGATTTGGCTGAGTTTACTGAATTGGTAGAAAAATAATTAATCAGGAAAAAAAGAGTGGTTTCTGTTGGTTCATCAAGTGAGGCCAGACGAATGCTAATAGAATGAACAACAGGACATCTCTTTAAATGCAATCCAGTCATTTGACTGGCTCAGCCACCTTGTGCAGTGAACAGGTCACCTGTGAGTCAGACATGGTGACAGGACTTGAGACAAAAGGCAGAGAAGAAGTGCTTTTGTCTTATTACACATTCACTTTAAGATTAGTTTATACTGATATTAATAATAAAGTAGTGTTCTTACCGTTAATTGCTAATTTTTTCCATTCGTTTGCATCATTGTCAATTTGCTAATAGATCATAATACAATAAACTGAATATTTACTTACCTACAAATCCTTTCTCTCCAACTAATTTAAGAGCAATTTTATCTGCCAAAACAGAAGAATTTCCATGTGCAATGTTAGCAAAAGGTCCAGCGTGAACAAATACTGGTGTTCCCTGGATGATAAAAAAAAAATATATACGTAAGTAATTCAATGTATAGACATCATGGTTTAACCCCAGCCAGTAATTCAGCCTCACACAGCTGATTACTCACTCCTCTATCAGTGGGATGGGTGAGCAAATCAGAAGGGTTAAAGTCAGAATATTCATGGCTTGAGATAAAGCCAATTTAAGTTAAAGAAAAGACTGCACGCACATGACCAAAGCAAAACAAGGAATCCATTCCTGCTTCCCATGGGCAGGCAGGTGTTCAGCCCAGGAAAACATGTGTAATCATGTGTAATTGTTACTTGGGAAGACAAATGCCATCACTCCAAATGTCCCCCCTTCCTCCTTCTTCCCACAGCTTTGTATGCTCAGCACGATGCCACATGGTTGGGAATACCCAGTTGGAGTCAGCTGCGTACAACTGTGTCCTTTGCCAATGTTCTGCCTACCCCACAGCCTGCTTGCTGGTGGGGTGAGAGGCAGAAAAGGCCTTGACTCTGTGCAAGCCCTGCTCAGCAATTACAGAAACATTCCCGTGTTACCAACAAATGCCAAGTGATGGCATTTGTCTCCAGCACAAATCCAAAACACAGCCCTGGACGAGCTGATGTGAAGATAACTAACCCTATCCCAGGCCAAACCAGCACATTATGTAAGAAACTCAGTAATTTTTCAGACTTATCAAAGTCACAAATAAATCAAAGCATATATAGCAAGAAAGTGCTCTTAAACAATATAGGGGAATATCTCAGGTGCTTGAGATCTCATTTGCCTGTTTCATTCCTAGAAAGGTAATAAACAGTAGTGCAAACCTACACAACTTCCTCACCCCACCTTGTACTAGTTCATGTTTTATATTTCCACAGCTCTAATACTGTGGTGTGCTATTCTGGCACAATCCTGTTAGAAGCACTAAATGCAGCACTGCAGATACCCAAGGAAGAGCCCAGCTCCAGCCCTGTGTGCTCCTGTTCTCCTCACGGGCTGCAGCAGTCATTCCTGTGCTGGCAGGGGAGCCACCAGAAGCTATGAGGGACCAGAATCAGGGGTCAAGGAGCTGGAGAGGGAGATGGCAAGGGATGTGCTGGGGGGCAGTGGGGATACTGACACAATGGAAAACACATTCCCTGCTGCTGGAAGCCCAGGTCCTGCACTAGACACCATACAGGGAAAATTGACAGAGCTGATTTTCCCTGTGGAAATACAAATACATGGTGTCTATGTCTAATGGCATACTCCTTGCCTCTCCTTTTCCTGGTTTAGATTGGTTTTCCAATCTAAACCAGAGAAAGGAGAGGCGAGGAGCAAGCAAATTAGTTATGTATAGGGTATTTGTGAGGTAGAAAGCAGTTCTCAGTTTCCCTTTTATATTTTTGGCAGGCACCCAAAGGAAAGGAGAAATTAGAAAATAAGCACTCTCAGAAGGGAGTAGGATTTGGTGAGATTACATTAACTGCTGTTTTTTTATCTCTAAAACAGAATACACAATCAGACAGAAGAATGTCACTTCAGCTGTTGTACTACAAAATACTTAGGCAAACAAATGGCCATTGTTGTGTTTGTGCATCTTAAAGCACCCAGCTGGTTAAAGAAAAGGTAAGCAGACAATTTCACATTATTTCCATTGATCTTCTTCTACATTCTGTACTAGGAGATAGTGCCAGCCCTCAAAATTTCAGACAACCTACCAGGCAACCTCCTTAAAGTTTTGGCCAGAAACACCAGGTAAGGAGGGCAGAGTTCTATGGATCAGCAGCAGGGCACATCTAATAGTCCCCTGAACCACAGCTTGGAAACCATTAACCATAAAATACAAGTTGGTTCTGCCTCCTCCCTTCCCCCAGCCACCAGTAACTTAAGGAAACAACCTACATATGAAAATCTCTATTTCACTGCTGTAATCTAAGTGGTGTTTTACAGAAAACATGGACATTTTAGTAATGATGACTAGAAATCACATACAAAAATGATGTATCCATAAAAAGCATCTCTTATTATTGCTTCCTTTGAAGTAATAGCATATAATTAATTGTTTTGCTCAGAGGAAAACAATTAATTTTTAGCCACTGCCACATGCACACACATGGGTAGGGGCTGTTCTCCAGGAACAACACAATTTAGCTGCAAGTCAGATAACTCTGCCTCGTACATGTTAGAGTAGAAACAGGAGCCAAATAAGTAAATGAAGGAGAAATCATCCCTGTAAAAAGAGAACTGATTCAGATCACTATAATCATAACACAGTGCTTACTATGGGTTAGCTTTTTTTCTTGTTTTCTATCTGGTAATGGACACATACTGCAAAATCAACTGAGATTTTACACAGGTACACAAAAACTTAACATGAACTACAAGTGCCTTCAAAGCTTCTTACTTATGCATCAGACTAATAGGTGCCACACAAAATATGTTATTCCTATCCCAAAGAGCTTGTAACATACAAAATCAAATGCAAACAACTCTCACCAAACTAAGTTGAAGCTTTACTTCTACTTTAATCCAGTATTTGGCATTCAAATAAGTAGGGCCACAAATTTCCAGCTACCAGACTCAAATCCATAAGGCTTTTCCAATTTGTCTTTTATTACTCAGTAAGACTAATTTTACTCTTCTAACCCCTAATTTCTTGTGGCAAGCAATCACAGGACTGGTCTCATTAGAGCCCAGAGCACGCACGGGGCAGATGTGATGCACAGACCCTCAGCCACTGGCAATGACTGGGCAGCCCAGCACACACACTGCAGCACCCATGCAAAGAGAGGGGCCAGAAGGGTCTCCTCCCACATTCCCTGGGCTACTGTGCTTCCAAGAGTTCATCCACACAACATGGATAGGAAGGGAATGTGGACTTTTGGATCCAAAATCCAGAATATTGGAAGTCAAGAGGCTCCCATGACTAACTTGAAATCCAAACATACTACTAAATCACTGGCATAGACAGATGCTCCCCTGAGCTCTGAAATCCATCAGAAGGAAGGGAAGAGCAATTGGAATGTTTTTTACAAGAGCAATCCTGGAAGAAAAGTAGAGCCTAGGTACTGAAGAGAGTGAACTCCAGCAGGACCTTGGGAGCCTCAGGCACACCTTGGAACAGGGACAACAATGTCTTCTCAGGCCAGCTTTAGTGACTGTGCCAGTCCATCTGTCCCACTTGTTTCTGCTACACTCTTAACAAACTATATGGAGAACCCAACAGTGGCACAGGGATGCATTCTGCTGACTGCTTTCAGTACAGAAAATATTATTATCCAAGTTTCAGTAAAAGAAAATAAACCCCGAATGTCAATAAATATCTGAAGTTATCTGGCCGCTAGCAGGATGTTTATAATACTTATTACCATTCTTCTCTCATCTTTACTGTGAGTGGCACTTCAAAAGTAACACAACAAACCACCCCAGAGAAGCCAGCCTGCAACTACAAAGGGCTGTCCCATGGAGCAGCTGCTCTGTTACGCATGGTATAAATAAATGCTGAACATTAAGGGATCAGTCGACAAGAGAACAAATCTGTCATGAGGAACATAGATAAACACTATGAAATCATTATGTACATTCCAAACAAAGTAATCTCAATTCTACAGCACTGGATATAATAAGTAAGCTCCGCCAAAGTCTGTGGTTATTGTAGATGGAGTGCCCTGTGTCTCCCATTTTCAGATTTTTACTGTCATTCCTGCATATAAAACACTGTCAATCACTAACACTCTTAGGCAGAATTTCTGGTGTCAGAGTAGCAGGACTGTGACAGAAAGCATCCCACCAAGAAACCTCTTTAAAAACCAGCAAATTAAACCACACATCAATTCACATATGAAATAAAGCACTGACATAAGTTGCCAGTTCAGTTCCACGCAGGACTGACATTTGGTAATTTTTGATTTATGACCTTCTAAGCCTCTTCTCCAGTGCATGCAGACATAATATAAAGTTGGTGGAAATCTACTGAGCGTGTTGTTCTTCTCCCTTTTCACAGGCCCTTAGAAGCAACTCCTCAGACTCCCATGGCTTAACACAATTGCCATCCACAGGCTTGTGGCCAGACCACAGAGGAGTGCAGCTGCACTGGCTACTTCTATCTGCCTACTCTCTCTGCAATGGCTCCTTCCAGTCACTGCTACCCACAGTCACCATGACTTACAAATTATGCCAAATCAACTCAGTCATCAGAACTCCTGCCCTCCCTCATCCAGCAGTCTTTTTGCCATTCTCCAAAGTGATCTGGAAGATCTACTTTGGTGAACAGTTTTGTCCCTAATTGCCAGACAGGTCCATGGCACATTCTGAGCTATATTCTGAGGCACATTCTGAGCTGTGTTCTCTGTAATAATATTAATCTGTTTTGTCACCACCTATGTGCTGCAGGATTATTTCTAATTTTTCTGTTGTCAAATTGTGGTGCTGTTGCTAAAGGCCCTTACAGCTTTATGAAGAACTTGTTCTCCCCAAAGGGATTAGGATTATGTTGCCCAATTACTACTGGTAATCTCTTTGGAAACTTAAGATGCTAACTTTTGGATGCTACTTACTAGTTTTATTTCAAGGTTTCATTATCCTCATTTCTGATTTGCAATTCACACATTCATCAGCAAGATGGCATTACTTAGAAGAAATACTACTACATCTACCACCCCAGGGTATACTAGGATAAGTCTGGCTTAAAATCTGTCATGCTAGAGGGCTCTAAACTCATAAGTGGAGCACTAGAGTACACTCAAGTGTGCAGGGCACAACATCCTTCTTGTTCCCCTCCTTTTTCTTTTTCAAACTGAAGCTATTAAAAGCACCTCTTACAGTTATTCAGATGAAGAATTAAAAATAATGAAGAGAGCTCAAGAGCAGCAACAGCACAGGCAGCAGTAGAGTGGGCACTGCATCCCCAGGAAGGCAAACAGTGTCCTGGGGGGCATCAGGCACAGCATGGCCAGCCAGGCAAGGGAGGGATTGTCCTGCTCTGCTCTGAGCTGGGGCAGCCTCACCTCCAGTGCTGGGGGCAGCTCTGGGTGCCACTGTGTAAAAAATGACATTGAGGCATTAGAGAGCATCCAAAGGAGGCCACGGGGATGGTGAAGGGCCTTGAGGTGAAGCCATGTGAGGAGTGGCTGAGGTCACTTGGTCTGTTTCGCCTGGAGGAGACCGAGGGGAGACCTCACTGCAGTTACAGCTTCCTTGTGAGGGGAAGAGAAGGGGCACACACTGATCTCTTCTCTGTGGTGACAGTGACAGGGCCTGAAGCTGAGTCAGGGGAGGTTTATGTTGAATACTAGGAAAAGTCTCTTCACCCAGAGGGTGTTTGGGCACTGGAACAGGCTCCCCAGGGAAGTGGTCACAGCACCAGCCTGACAGAGCTCAATAAATGTTTGTCTCAGGCTCATGGTGTGGTTCTTGGGGTTGGTGCTCTGCAGGGCCAGGAGCTGGGCTTGGTTTTCCTTGGGGGTCACTTCTAACTCAGCAGGGTCTGTGATTCATGAGAGCAATGGCACAGCCCAGAAGGACCTCAGCCAAAGCACAGCACTGGCTTGGAAAATATTTAGATAAACTGGGGATCTCCATTACTTGGATAGGTAACTCACATTAGCCTGCAAGCCAGCAAGTATCCAAAGGGTGACAAAAATTCATCTTTAAGACTCAAAGTGGAGGAGTGGAGCATGAAGGAGTCTTCTGAGCTGCTTTGGTTTGGTGTTTTAAAAATAATTTTCTGAGAAGAATTTAGGGAGAAAATGAATCTTTGGGTAATGTGGTCAGGGTCCTGCTAACAAGCAACAGTGTTTGATGAAAGCTGGCAGATGTTTCAGCCATAGCATAGATTAGACTAGAAAAGAATACCACATAAAAGGCAGGAATTTTATTGCATAGAAATGTGAATATAAAGAAGCGCAGGGAAAAAATAAATGCATGCATGTCCCAGAACCAAATGCCTATCGATCAAAAGAATCTCTTCTGACATTTATAATTGTCTTTCAGAACACTGCAACAAAACCACAGTATTTTCCAACAGATATGCAAAGTGCAAATAGAGTGACTAAACAGTCAGAATCAAAGCCACCTTGTCACTGGTGCTTAACACACACAATGTTATCTGAGTGGTGATTATAATACTGAGCTCTGGCCACGACATTCTTAATGCTATCTGACCTCCAGTTTCTGCTATTGGATGCTACATTAAAATTATCACACACACACACACACACATTCTTCAGACAGCCACATGAAAAAACAGGTTTCCTTTGCAGGGGAAAATAATTAAGATGGCTATAATAAAATAACATAGACTTAAATTCTGTTGTCCTAATATCCCCCCAAGACTAGGAAGTTGTCCCCATCCAAACTCAAAAGCAAAAATATAGTAGTTATAGCTTCAACATGCTGTAGAAAATGAGACATTTTTATCAACTGGTGATTGCACTGGTATCTTTCTGCATTCTTCAACTTTTCATCATATCAAGAGTCATAGTGAAATATTCCAGCTATGTAATTTTGATGGTCAAATGAAAAAATATATATACACTCATTTTTCTCCCAGTGCATTTGTTTTCAAAGCTGCTTCATTATTTTCTCATTTTTCTTTCTCCTTCTCCCCTTGAATGTTGCTCATCAGTTTCCCATCAAAACATCAACACCAGACTGCCCAGGCACGAAGTTAGCTTGCACCAATTCTACATTCTTTAAGCTTTTGGAAGAAAGCTCACTAGGGTAGGTGTAAAACATTCCTCTCATAGCCCATGAAAGCTTCATTTAGTCCATGAAGGCACTGTGGCAAGATAGGGTGGCTGGGAACCATCTTTTCAAAATGCATAAACAGCTGAAAGGACCCTCCTGTGACTTTGAATAGCAAAAACTGTAATACGGATTAGAATGGCCACAGCAAAGCACCTTTTTCCACACAAAATGCTGGGCTGCAAGAATTGTCATGGGAACATACAAAGAAATACACAAAAAGGACACTTCCCTGTGTGGAGGTGGGAAATAGTAGTAAACCTGCGACTTAGAAGATGAACCTGCCTCCCATTGTGCTCACAAGCAGCTCAACAATGCATTGCAGCTTGTTTGCAACACTAGGTAAAATTATGACTATAGCCAGATCTCAAAAAAGGAAAAACACAACAAAAATATATAAATGCAGATAGAGTTGAATAGTTAAACATAAAGAAATGAATGTTTGCTAGACTGCTTTTATGGATCAGACCCTGGCTTCAACTTTGAAAATCAAGTACAGCTGCTGAAGAGAAGCATGATCAGCACAGAAATCAGCACAAATTTCACAGAATTTGAAAGCTGGAGAAGGGCAGGCATTATAAGCCATACTTACCTCTAATGTCTGCATTAGCGTGGGCTTAATTGCATCTTTCATCAAAACTGCCAAAGCACCAGTTACTCCCTAAAAGACAAGAGTCCACATTTTAAGGAAGTCAATTCTAAGGTGCAACGTTTCCAAGTTACACTTATAATTTAAAAACCCTTAAAGCTTTAAACCCTTAAAGTTGTTGCAGTGATGCATAAAGAATTTATTTAAATATTATCTCAAGACTTCTAAAAGTCTGTATTTACAGTGTGTCTAAACAAAAATGATTTTATTCTGAATACATTTAAAAGGCAACAGGTAACTTCTTTGTCCTATTTCATGGAAAGATCAGAAACAGAATTAGGTGATCAGCATGAGGATGTTCAAGGTAACAAAAGATGAAGTGCCAAAGGCCACTGAGACCTGAGAAAGCAAGAAGGCAACAGCTTGCTAAAACTGCCTAAAGAAATGATAGATGTATTTCTTTCATGACAGAATCTACAGCATAAATCAATAGCCAGCAGAAACAGAAAGAGTATTTTTCAAGACTTGTACAAATATATACATAACAGATACAGGATGAAAGCACCCACAGAGTTTACTAGGGGCAGATAAGAAATACATCACAAGATTAAAAGTTAGAGGTGCCTTACTGTGATGGTGAGATCACAAAAGGAGTTGAGCAAACTCCTGCATTTTGGTTGCAAAAAACTTTACTCCTCCCTAAAAATTCTGTTGAAGTATAAATTTCACACTGACTGACCTTAAAAACCTTAAAATAAATAAAAGTCATAACAACTTCTACACCAAATTTCAATGCTCATTCTAGGGGAAAAAAAGGGCTACAAAGTGTGCACATCACTATCAGGTTTTATGAAGAGTGATTTCTAGAAACCACCAGCATATGTCAAATATTTATTCTCGTATTACTTTGATTTTGAGATGATGGTTTTCGTTTTGAAAGAACTAGATCATGGTTCAAAAAAACCACAGCAGTGTTATAAAGAGTGGCTCATAGACTTGCCAGAGAACGCAAAAAAAAAAAAGAATACATTTTTCTATTGGAAAAACCATGAAAACCAAACAAAAATCCTAGCTGCTGTCAATTGTTTAAAATGAAGATTAAAAAACATGGGTACAATATCCAAGTTTCCTATTAAGAGATGAGCAATAATATTCAAATAAAGAAAAGCAATAGAAATAGTGCCTTTATAATTCCCAACACAGCTTTTGTCAACTAATCCCAAATTTGAGAAATCAAAGTCTGCATGAAAATTTTGATGGCAACAGATAAGATATACAAGTATGTGATGATTAAGTGCAGTATTTTATAAAATACAAATTTCCCCTTTCTGAGCATCACTTCTGAGCACAGACTTCAGAGGAAAATGATGCAAAATATTTGGCCTCAGATAAAACTGAATTGAAACCAAAACAGTAAAACTGGCTTCTACTGATGCATAGCAAGTGTTTCCTTGGAGGGCTGTGAAGCAGAGAGAGAGAAGGAAAAGATTTTTCTTTGCACTCTGCATCTCCCACTATTTACAAAACCCAATGGATCCACAAAGATATAATATGAGAAGCTGATAGGAAAACAGCATAGTTTTTCATCTTCTGAATTAGATTGCTGTTTCTTAAGATGTTGATTTTAGAAGCTAGGATTAAAATGCAAGGAAACATAACCACTCCAGCTCTTTCAAAATGGTGAGACTCCACCACCTCCATAAAAACAGCCTGGTGCTATGTTGTTTACAGACCCAAATACTCTCATTTCTAGAGGGAAAAAAAAAAAAGCCAAATGCAAAACTTTACATCTGGTCTTTCAAGTGGTCAGCAGCAGGGATAACTACCTGAGCAGCCATGGATCAGGCCTACTGGAAAGAAGACTTGGGGGAAGAAGAAGTGAAAAATAAAATCAGGACACTTCTTCCCCAGCCTCCTCCCTTGCTCCTCCTAGATAATAATGGCTCAAATCCTGTCTCCTTTGTTTTCTGATGTTTTCACCAATCTGATAAAAACAGTGAAGTAAAAAACCACTTCCTCTGCATTTGAACTTTTTGGGAGATATTACTTATGCATCATTTCGGAAATCCTAGGCACACCTTCTGGACACAACAACTCATTTGATCTGAAGCTGAAAGCAAAGAAAAAAAGATGTAAATACTCCAATAGGCATATCTTGTGCCTCCCATGGTTCTTAACCAGCTTTGGTGTCAATAGCAGTCCGTAAAAGCTAAACAAACTTGTTTTAGGTTTTCATACCTGACACAACTGAGAATGAAGTTTTCATTTCTTTGTATATTCAATCCTCCAAGTATCTAATATACAATTCCTACAGCTCACTCCAAGTCCTGGATCTGATTCACAAAGCTCTTTAAGGAATCAGGTTCCTATTTCCAATTCAGAACAGGTAAACTTCTTATAAAAGAATCAGGAGCTTTGACACTTGCACACCAATTAAGCTTGTGAGAGCCCAAAGATCATTAGATTTCCACTAACTCACTGTCAGAGGAAAGAAGCAGGGCTCTGAATCAATTGTATACAGATGTTCAACTTTTCTGGGCTCCTTCCTGGAATTGATCACAGGTATTCCTGAAAATAATGCTCCTTCCATCTATCCAGCAGCCATCAGGGCAGGTATGCTCCCCAGGACAGCACAGATCACAGAGCATAAAATAAATTATACACATGACACAGGAAAGGCAAACTTAGATGAAAATCCAAAATACTTTCAAAGCAACTTCCAGTGGAGCAGTCTCTGAAGTCTACCAAGACTGGAAATGAAAGCCAGCACCAGATGACAAGGAAAGTGATTGAAAGTAACTACTATGAAATGAATAAAGGCTACACAGACTGAAGGGCAGAGAAAAACCCTTTTCTTTAAAAGGAAAATAATGAAGTACTTGCAACCTCCCTTCAATTGAAACTATAGTCTCTAATAAAATAATAAACTTTCTGTAATTTCAGTCCTATAACAAAACTAAACCTTAAACCACAATGTGAGAAGAACTGCAACTCCTTTTGTTTGAAGTGAACACTGTACACAATGTTTCTGATCAACCAGAGAACAAAATCTCACTAGCTGACAGATCATTTACATAAGCAAATATGAAGCTATTTATTTTTTTATTTGGTCCCAGAATTACTGAAAGCTAACAGAATGGCACAGCAAGTAAGCTGAGAAGAAGTCTTATTTAAAAAAAAAAAAAAGTGACATATTTATTTAATATTTTTCATATCTGCTGAAATACTGATCTTGGGCATATATTCTGATTTAGCTTCACATAAAAATATGGTATGTGTCCATCAGAATTCTACCTCACTGTAAAAGCCAAAAAGCAATTAAGTCTTCAAAATACTGTACAATGAGCACCACATTTTGGCAAAGATTTCAACATATTCCATTACAGAGGATAGACATTTAATCCATTACTCTTGTGGAAAGAGTCTTCTCAATTCATGAAATATTCAATTTATCTTTTTTCTATTATTCCTAGCCTGTCTCTGCATATGGTTTATATCTGCCAATGTGTATTTTAGGTTTTACTATTGCATTATGATAAATATATTGCATATAAAGTCAAAATTAAGAGCAATTGTATTTCTGTGAAGTATTTTGTGTGTACATCTGGAAACAAATCACAGAGAAAGGTTTAGTGGTTTTGGTTCACATAGATTTCAAAAAACTAAAGACTACTGTCAAATATTTAAACTTGCATAAAATTTTGCATATTTTTTTAAAGATAGGCAGAACTGACTCATTATATAGGTTGTGTGGTATTTCTCATTGTAAAAGTGCCTTTAAAGTTTCTTAGAACTATATGCAATTGCAGTTCTTTGGGCTAAAATGTTCCATGTCAATGGACTATGATAGATTCAAGCTTTTGAACTTGATTTTGTTTTACAAAAATAGAAGTCAAAATTATTGAACCTGGATTGAGAGCATTCTAACATCTTGTAAAGTGTTGTTCCTTTGTTCAGCTGTCTTGAAATCTTTCCTTACTGAACTGGAGAGCTTTACCTCTTCACTGACCCTGACCTGAAAGGAGGATGGAAATCCAGGAGCAGAATTGCTTCACATCAAACCTCTTGATGTGTGTGAAAATTTTCCCAAGAAATAATCTTTGGATTATATCAACACAGGCAGCACAAGCTGCAGGGGAAAAGGGGAAGAGTAGATACTGTATTTAAAGTCTAGAAATGGTAGGCTTAGTTGCAAGCTGCTCAAACAGACTGACCACCTGTGGGATGAAACCAGCAAAGGAGACAAAATGCTACATGAAAGAACAGAAATTTATCTTCTTCCTACATATGAATTATGACTTGTTATGGTCTTTGACTATACTTCTCTTGCTGTTGTTTCCAGAGAATTCAAGTTTATACAATAGACTTCCACCAGTGCAGTATGGTTTTTTGTAAGCTCTCTCCTCCTGAACAAAGTAAGCATTATTTAATTTGGTACAGAAATCGTAGAAACCCCACTGCTAATTTCTTTTGACATTTTTTAAATCCCAACCCCAAAGCATCTGACTTCTTCAGCAACATTAGTAAGTCTTCAGAAATGAACAATTGTTCCTGTTCTTCAAAAGAGAAACCTGCACACACAAGAATAAAACTCAAAAATATTCGCCAATTTTGGATGCTCAAACTGAGACAACAGAAAATAATTTCTCTTGGTTCAAGGTTCTTGATGGAGTTTCACTCTTTCCATAAATTTCAGTTGTTAAGCTCTCTAGTATTAAACCAGACTGAGGAATGACTAATTCCTTATGTACTGCAAGAATCAGTGTGGACAGAGCATCTCATGAATGTTTTGCTAAGAACACAGGAATGGAGCTCTCCAAAGAGATGCTTTACATCCTTAACCATGAAATCATATTCCTCTTATTCCCATGGTTCTCATACTCGTTTTTAACACACTGCACAACAAAAGAGGTAGGAGTTCCTGCACTTCCCAATCATGACAGGCACCCAAGTCTTTCCTGTGCATGCTATGGAGAACCTCCAGAAGGAAAAGAATGCAGCAGCATAGCTGCAGATGCTCATAACACATGTCCTTCAGACTGTGATGATTTTTTCTTTCTGGGCAGGTTTTTGGGTTTTATTTTTTTTTGTATAATACAAAACGCTGCTTTAAAGAACAACTAGAAACATATGTTCAGTACAAGCAAAACTATCAAATGATTGAGACACTAAGCATAGGAAGTTTGTTTTAAAAAAAGCCAAAGAAAATCGAATTAGTAACAGACATTTTGCTGAGCACTACTTTCATTTTTGGGACACGGTGGAAAAGTTCTAAAATTCTTTTGCCCCAATGAAAAAGCCACTTCTTTCATTCATCAAGCTGATTAGCATTAAGTGTTAGCAGGTCAAATATTTTGCAGTGCTAATAAATAAAAGTACCTTCATACAAAAGTAGCGTCAAAATTAAAATCACATGCTACAAATGCAGTTTTAATTCTAACACTAAATAATTTTAAAGTATTAGCATATGCCTTATAATGTGGCCAAGACAAAGTTATACAATTGAAAAGCAAAAGTAAAACTTCAATAGCTAGAAAAATATGTCTCCTGCATAATTGGAAGAAGATTATTTACTTTGAATTTTAATGATGACTGTACTTGGAAATTTTTTAACCTTATCTTAATTTCATTCTTAAATCCAGGAACTCTAGATATCATGTTTTTATTTCTTTATTAAACTGGAACCCACTACAGCTGTGAAGGTGCTCCTGACTTGCAGATTTGCTATCTTTGCTGACAGGGCAGGATTCTCATTGCTTTACTCATTCATTACTCGTAAGTTTGAGCAGATGTTCACGAAACAGGGAGAAACAGGAAGAACGAGAAGAAAACATACAGAGCCTGTGTGACACAGGCAGCCATCAGAGATGGGTTGGCATCAGACTGCTCCTGGCATGCAGCTGGTTACAAACATCAGCTGGTAGCTTCTGGCTGCACCAGGACCTGCCATATACAACCTCACGTAAGCTTCCAACCACTGTTCAATGACTCACAGCCCAGATTCAAGGGATAGAATGTGATTTAAAGAAAAAACATACTGGTTTTATTCAGAAGCTGAAGTAGGGAATGAGGAAACAGCAACTAGTGAAGGTAAAGAAGAAAAAAAAATCTAATGACAGATAAACCTGTGCCAAGCACTATCAGCAACCTTTGAATTAAGAACAGCTTGTTTCCACTCTGATTCAGTGGTACAGGCATTCATGTGGTAACTATCACTGCAACATCTGAGCAGACTCGAAAAGCACAGTAGCAAACATTACCAGCTCTCTCAAATAAGAGCCCGCACTTTGACTCCCTTCAGCACTGAATCTGTTTGCCTTAAAAATTGCAGAAAATGATCCAAGTAGGTTATGGAGACCAGAGGCTTTCTGAGCCAGATGTTACCAGAGCTGAAGAAATAAGTTCTACATCTTGTTCTCATTCTCAAGCAGGTTTTGGCCCAGAAGATGATCTTCCTTTGATATCTGACTGTGCTGTTCAAAGCAAAATCTTTGGCATGTACCTGCCTTTTTAATGCTTCAAGAGGCAAAACAAACATCTGAGGTTATTCACAGGTCTCTACAGCACTGAACATACCAAATCCTCTGCTGTTACTGGTTGTCCTTTCTTGTCATTAGCCACCACCATTCTCCCCAGTCTTTCTTTCATATCTTGAAGGCTGGTGGTAAGTGCCAGGATGGCCATAATCTCACTTGCAACAGCAATATCAAACTGAGCCTGTAAAGTAGAAATGAGAATCATGAACCAAATCAAAGTCAGCTGAAATACTCACAGGGGATCATCAGGAATAAACTCAGGAAAGATAAATTTCACACTGGAATTCAAACAAGTTCTAAATGGTAACTTACAACTTTTGAGATTACTTAAGACTAGAGTAACTTTACATACAGAGTGGACAATGAGCCATGGGAATGTAGAGCTGCAAAAAGGGACCTGGGGGTCCTGGTCAGTGGCAAGTTGAACAGGAGCCAGCAGTGCCCTGGCAGCCAGGAGAGCCAACCCTGTCCTGAGGGGCATCAGGCACAGCATGGCCAGCCAGGCAAGGGAGGGGATTGTCCTGCTCTGCTCTGGGCTGGGGCAGCCTCACCTCCAGTGCTGGGGGCAGTTCTGGTGTCATGATACAAGAAAGACATAAAAATATGGGAAAGCATCCAAAGCAGGGCTACAAAAATGGTGACAGATCCTGAGGGGATACCATATGGGGAGCAGCTGAGGTCACTCAGTCTGTTCAGAGGAGACCAAGGGGAGATCTCATTGCAGTCACAACTTCCTCATGAGAGGAAGAGGAGGGACAGACACTGATCTCTTCTCTTCTCTTCTCTTCGAAAATGGCCTGAAGTTGTGTCAGGGGTGGTTTAGATTGGATATTAGAAAAAGGTTCTTCACCCAGTGGGTGGTTGTGCACAGAGTCCCAGGGGAGTGATCACAGAATCAAACCTGACAGACTTCAAGAAGCATGTGGACAATGCTCTCAGGCATAAGGTGTGACTCTTGGGGATGGTCCTGCACGGGGCCAAGTCCGACTTTGATGTATCCCTTTCAACTCAAGATTTTGTATGATTCTGTGAACTTCAAACACTTTATATTCCCTGATTAATATTCTCCATTACACTACATTCATTTGAGGACCCGTGTTGCAGACTGTTTAGCCCCTTGGCTCACATTATCCTTAGAGAAGCTCCCTGAAGGATCAAGAATTTTCTTTCTGTGGCAGAAACAGGAAATCACCAGATGTCTTTTGAGCTTTACTGGCCTGAGCAAAAGAACACTGCATTGTGGAGGGTTCTTTAATTATTTTTTTTTCTGTAATGATCTCCAACAGGTTTTTATTCTGGTTTCAAAAACATTCTTGTTACATTTGATCATTCTTTTTCTACTTAAGCTCAAAATTTAGAGTCTGTGCTGTTAATTCTTGTGCTTGACCTATGAAAACATAAAATATGTTTTTTTTAATAAAATCTCTGGTCCTTTTTTTTTTGTAATTAAATGAACAAATATGTAAACCAAAAAGTACAAAGAACTAACTATATGTGGCATCAGTTCTATTGCTCTTGTAGAAACACACCCATACTGTGCAGCATTTCAGCACAACATAAGCAATAGTTTTTACTTTTCTTGAAGAGTATAGATTAGTAGTACTTGTACTAATACAGTATTAGTAGAGCTCAGGCCACATGCTGTCAGAACATAAACAGAGAAGAATAGAAAAGCCACTAATGTATTATGTGATAGGAATGCAGTGTTGGCAGTGATCAAGAACTGCAATTTCTTTGGTAATCTCTCCATCTCCAGCAATTAAAGGCTACATAAAGTTTAGTAACTGACATCCTACTGCTATCTATGCAAGAAAAACGCCCAGGACTGCTTCTCTCAGACCTCTGGCAGATGTATCCCATACTAATACCAGAGGAATCTGTTCAAATTGAGAACTTTGTCTGTTTTTAAGAAGCGTCTACATAGAACATACCCCCTACCACTCTTGTGTATTTGCCTAGTACTTTAAGAACTTCTGCCCTTTTTTAACCCATGTTCCTGCTTTTAGTTTTTGACAGCTACAGCCCAGAGCAGCCCTATTCAGGCTGACCTCTATGTACCTACTTGTTTAGTCAAAACATCTGAAGACACCTGAGCACTTTTCTGCTGTGGACATAGGTAGAGAGTCCTACATACCACAGAAAAGAAAAATAATTCTGTAACTGAGATTTTCAGCATAGTGATTCAAGTGAAATGGTGAAATCACAAAACAGATTTTCTGTATTCTTTGGAAGCAGTTCTAAATGCAATGAACTTTGTTAGCATTGTGATGACATGGATTCCGCTATCTTTTCTGAATTTGAGAATGTCCTCAGTAAGTCACTGTAGCATATGTAAGACAAGAAATAAGTCTGAGAAATCTATGTCCAACCCATATGGTAAAATACTTCTGATTTATCAGAATGTTTATTGGAAGACCCCCAAAAAAGTTTTTATCATGATTTCTATATAAATCCAAAAGGACAGGAAAAACATCCCAGGTAGGTGCTCAAAGAGTGGCATAAAATTTAATTGAAGAAACAGGCACAAAAGATAGTAGTAGCAGGTGCTATTTTAACTCTAAATAACCTTTATACACCTATGAAGTGCTGACAGAAGTCTTAGCTGCAAAGTCAGTTTTTTATTGATGAAAGGATCCACCCACATGGATTCAATTGCAGGATCAAGGGCATCAGTCATGTAATACTCTTCAGAAACCACAGCATCCCTGTTCATTAAAATGCAGACTTTTGTGCCTGCTGTGCTCTGCCTTTTTACACAGGTGTCATTGATTTTAAGAGTGCTAGAACATCACTCCAAATATTTATAAAATGCATCTGTTAGCCATGAAGTCCTATTTGCTCTGGATCTCTAGCTAGGCTCTGAAATGAGTTTTCCTAACTGCTACCTCTATTTCTTGAGTCAGTTACGTCCATGCTAAAATGTGAATGGATATGCATCAGTCCAACATCTCAATATTGAAAGCATTAATTTTACCTGAAAAAGTACAGAAGCAACATTTGACAGTAATATTGTCAAGTACTACTCTATAATAAAATAAGTCACATTTAACTCAGTAGTACAATTACAGTGGTAAAACACTACACAATAAGGCTGGCAGAACCCAGCTTAAGACTAATGATCATATTGAGTCACTGAAACAAATCTAAACATATGAAAAGGTCTCAAGTGTTGAAGGAACTCACACCAAATATAATATTTTGTAGTCCCAGCCCATTATCTGAAATGACTATTAGCTAATATTGAATTTCCTGTGAGCTGCAGACAGAAAAATTTCTATTTTGTGCATTCAAAACCCAGGTAAGTGAGCATTTCTAGTGGAGGGCGTCCTTGCTTAGGGCAGAGGGGTTGGAACTGGATGATCTTTAAGATCCCTTCCAACCTAAACTGCTCTAGGATTTTATGATTTCTCTTTGAAGTTCTTCTCTCCAATTTGGCTTTGCTTTACCTGCTGCAAAAACCACAGCACTATGTTTTGGTCTCTTTATTTAGGCATACATAAAAGAAATGTTGAAGAAATGGTAAAGAAAACTTAATGCTAGGATTTCTAAAAATATGAAAGCCTTATCTCTACCACAAGAGCTGTTCACATCAAAATAGTCAGAATCTCATGAATTTCATGATCCAGAATGTTAGATTACAAGATCTTCATCAAAGTAAGAGCCACACCACATCAGCACAATGAATTTACTCCTCCTGATGCTGCTGTTCCATGCTGGGCTGTTTCAGAAATCCATTTACCTACATTACACCAGTAACACTTGCTCAGGTGGTGTTGGGAAAGTCTGGTTTTCAATTTATCAGTAAGTTCTTTAATAAACTTCCATAATCTCTCATTTAGTAAAGGAAGGTTAGCTTTTTACACCACTGAAAAGTACACATATACTCTTTTGCTGAACTATCCCTTCAAACCCACACAGCAAAAGCAAGGACATGCTCAAAGTTCTTACAGCTCAGATTCCAAAGCTGAGATGTATGACAGGCAAATGAGAACTCTGAATAAAAAGCTTATTTTTAAAAAATTTTTGAAATTAAATTTAAATGTAATTTCAATTATGTGCCTCCTACATAAATTGTTACAGAGATTTAAAAACAATTAAAAGTAATGCAAATTAACTTTTTGAGGGCATAAAGGCATCTTGTTATAGGACAATGTTAAACCCCCAACACATGCAATTTTTTAAGTGCTTTCGACACATTGTAGAATATGCATTGGTTTCTGCTTCTGAAATTTCAGATTCACTTACTCATTAACACCATCAGTTTCACTGCAAGATTACTATACAACAGCAACAGACACCATTATTGCAATTCAAAGTATGCTGAAAGAACTGCAGAAACCCTCTCAGCCTCTAACACAGAGTCTGTCCAGAATGTGATTTATTAATGCCTTTACATACCTGACGGACAAATCCCTTCTCTGTGCTTGCCTGCCCAACTGTTATTCTGCGCAGGAATCTGTCATTTGTGTCCACCACTGAAATAATGGAAAGGCAAAAGCACAACATGTTAACAAGGACTCAGTAATATGGCTTTTTCCAGGCATACCTGTATTCTTTGAGATTCAACACATGTGAGATTCAACTGCTCCAACAGCGTAACCAGATGGCCACACTTCTGCATATCAGCACTGGCACTGACTTGGTTGCTCCCTTCTGGTTGATACCATTTGATGACAGGTTGAAACAACTCAAATACAGTTTATTTGAACAGCATTTGAAGGTAACAGCTTCTTAGTATTCTAACATACTATTTAGTATTTTACCTACATGAGAAAAATCAATCTTAGTAGATACAAAGCACCAGATCTACTCCAAATCGTCTGCTTCATTGCTGATTTCTTAAGAACTGACTTTAAGACTACATCATGTTGGTCAGATTTGGTCAGTTCCTCTTTTAAAGGAAAAACAGACTATCTTTTTCTCACAGTCTCTGTAGTCCTAGAAATGCTTATATTTGCACCAACCCTAAAATAAAGGGTGCAAGGTACTCTTGACAAGTTCAGCTTTTAGCTTGACAATGAACTCAATCTCCTGGTAGATTTGAGTCCTGTTCATTTATAAGCAGAGTGTCCAGGAACCTCCAAAGAAGCTGTCAGCTCTCAAGGTAAGTGAGCTCCTTCCACTTTTCCTGCTGCTTTTGGAAATTAAAAAAAAAATCTGTCTGCACAGAAAAAGATGACATAATTACACAAGAACAAGAGGGACTCTGAATGTTAAGTAAACCCCAGTTCAGGGTTGTGAGTGAGCTGAGAGAAAACCAAGATTTAAGTCACTTTCCCCCTCCTTGGGCATTTCCCTTGGGGCTGTTGTAAATACCACACATATCTTTTTCCCTCTGCTCAGTCTTTAGGCCCCTAATTTCTTCAGGAATCCCATTTAAGGGATGGTGCAACGCAGATTTGGCCAACTCATTTTGCTTTCTATATATACACAGTCATACTCTAAAACACTACACTGCTGGCAGGAACTGCAGAACAGAGCCTGGTAGATGGAAGCTGCAGCCTTGCACCAAGCTGTGGCACCATATGGCACAGTGAAGCCATATGGCAAGCTGATCTCTCCAGCACAGACTTCTCCCTTCTCGTCCTTGGAACCTCAGTCTCACAACACCTAAGCAGACCTAAATGTCTTCCCTGTCTACACAGGCACTCCTAAGGGCAGGAACTTACCTTCCCACTAGCCTGGACAGCCAGAGAGCTGATTTTTTATCTGCACCTTCCTCGTGAAATCATGTAATCTAAACACCCTTACCATAAAATTGTAACTGCTCCTGCAGCCCCTGGTCACTGGGATATACTTACTGTGGTCACTGTGACCAATTCTCACTGTGGTCACTGTGACCAATTCTCACTGTGGTCACTCACTCTCCAACAAGATTCCAATAGCTGCACTTAGTAGTAATAAAATAAGAAATAACTGGTTTTGCCATAAAAACAAACTTTCTTTCTCCAAATCTTCCCTCTTCCTTTACCCAAAATAAAGCTTTCACTAAGGTTTAGGTTCAAATAAGTGTTAGGTTTAATGTAGCCACTTTCTTATCCTCTAGAGATGCAAACAGAATCTGACTATCAGGGAAAGACAAAGAAGGAACTTTCCCACTTTTCAGTATATTGTATGTTTTCAAGTTAGTGTAAGCTGACCATGAACTGAAAGTTTGTGATACTTCTATGGAAACAGGTCCTGACCAAAATTAATTTTCAGAAGATGTGATAGCTTAGCTCTTTTTCCCCACAAATTCCCTGGTATGTAACAAGCTTCATAGACATATGGACTGCAGAAACAGTCCTAAATAAAACATTCTCCAAGTTATCTAAACCATTCCTCAATTCAGGGTTTTTTTTCTAAAATGTTTAAGGTATGTACATCATATAGAGCTGCGTGGAATAGAAATTTCACCAACATCGTTTGAGATTAATTAAATAACTCCCTTGAGGTTAACAGCTGTTGAGCAATGTTGCCTTCTCCCAAACCCTTGCTGATAAAAAAGAGGAGTCATATTACACTAAACATTTATATTACTTCTTTATCCTAATACAGGTCTCTTCCAGACACACTGTGTGACTAATAAAAAACATCTTACGCCACATCCCCAGAACTGTCTTGAGAAAAACATCCCAAGCCTGAGATGACATGCACACAAAGGGCACACCAAAGCATGGCCAAGACTCCTCCCTTCTCAACAGATTCACCCTTTTTTCTAAGCATCACAATACATTCCATTTAACAGTGATAACATCAGTGTTTGAGAACTAAGAAAGAAAATAAAATCCAGTGGTATTTATCTCAAAACTTTATGCAGAGTTTATTTCCCTAAAGAAGAAAAAGATAGGTATAGAAATTGAGGTAAACACTGAAATTTGACCCAGCGCTAGAACTGGAAAAAGCAGAGGGGAATTGTCTAAGGGTATCAGAGTGGGTATCAGTTTGCTTGGCAACAGCACCACATCTCTTTTTCTAAATGAAGCAAACAACTCAAGAGACTTCAAAAATCAGAAAAACACATAATCCCTTAAGCCTATTAGGTCTCTTGAGCTACCCAGGCTGCTGAGCTTGGGAGGATGAGGGACCAAATTCAAGAAGGATAAATACAAATAATCTAGAACCATAAGAGACACAGTTAAGTAAAGAATGGCTAAGATTTGCAAAATGCACAGAAAAGACACTTTCACATGTCTGGAGAGGTATGACCTAATGTGAGAGTGACTGGGGATGTCTTTAAACTGTCAAAGAAACCTATCTTTCAGAATTTTAGCAAAGTCTCTTGAGTTATTGCAGATACTTGACCAAGTTTAGAGCAACATGCTGCATCTGCATTTGTTATGAACCCACACTTCCCACTTGCAAATTGGTTATTCTCGCTGTCAGCTCTGATTCAGGTAAAGTTAAGCAAATTAGGAGATAAGTTATGATGAACTCCAAGATAAAGTGAGGCTTTCTGACTACATACCTCTTTGCCATGTTATGGTGGATGGGTCAATATCAAGGCGTACAAATTTGGTGATCTCCTCTTCTGTTAAAGTCTTAGGATCAGTCTTGTTTATTCCCAGCCTCTACAGAGAAAAAGTTCAAGAAGTGCAATGAAATGGCTTATTTGCTTCAAATGGTGTAGCTGCTCTGGCTTATCAACCCCACATATGTAAATTGCAAGCTTAGTAATCCTGTTTTAAGAAAAATGCAGCCTGATCCCACAGTGATTTCTTTACAACTGACATCTTGTTAGATATAAGGAATCATTACACTGAGAATAATTCACAGCAAAATAATTCAATTATATTGGAAATAATGATTCATGTATTTGAATGTTATAAAGCCAAACTTTTATTTACTCAGTTGCAGATCATATGAAGAGAGAAATCCATTTCAAATGAAGAGATAGTTGGTATTTCATGAATAAAGCAAACACTCCCCCTCCTTCCCTAACCTGTTTTCTGCAACAGTGTAAACAAGAACAAACTGAAAATATCCCAAACTTTTGATGGAACAATCTCTGAGCCTGACTCTGCCTCAGAGTCAAGCAGGTATCAGCTTCATTTTAGTTGACTGACATTCAACTGAGCAGCACAAAAGCTTAAAATGTTATGAGGCCTCATTTACCCCCCACCAAAACAGAAGCTGTCACTACCTCTTATCCTTCTTTTCACCCCCAAATTTCAAGTGTGCATGTGGCAGCTGTCCATTGCCATCCCATGACTGAAACATAGTCAGTCAGGACTCAGAAGCCAACAGCAAACATGGAACTGGCCACAGAAGAACTGGAGCTGTCCTTAGGGGTCATATCTGAGAGGTTCATATTCTCTTTCTGCTACACTGGTGAGCTGTGTTCCTCTCTAGGTTTTTATCAGAATGGCACTCTCAAATCCAGACATGTTGAACACACATGAATTGCACAGGAAGCTCTTCTGGAAGCATTCAGGGAGCAAGATGGGATGCAAAAATACACTGAGCATACAAATGTACCCGTTGAAGGAAGAACGCTGTCAAACTGACATCAATAAAACCCCAGAAGTATATGCTATATTAGACTTTAAAAATAAAAAAATATTGCAAAACCAAAGAATGTGAGCTTTCAAATGTGCCTATACCATAATTGGAAAAGTATTTTAAAAACTCTGACTTTAATATGTCACCAGAAAAGACACAGCATTTAAAAACATTACTGGTTTATTTCAGGAGAAAAGAATAGCAAAAATGCTAGTTATAAAAATAATATCAGACCCAGATTCTATTACTCCAAGGATGATGCTTTCAGAAAAAAAGTCTAGACTTGATATATTTATGAGAGTTTATACAAACTCAGCCCCATACATCAAGTAATTTTAAACAAGTTGTGTAAGAGAATGCATTTCATGAAGAGGCACCATAAAAGAGGAGAGACTGAATGAACAACTTACTCTCAGGCGGGCAAGCTGAATAGCAGAAAATCCTCTCACGCCATTAACCACCGGAACCAGCCTGGTATACAAAGACTGGAAAAACCACACAAGAAGTTGAAGGGAAAAGTTATAAAAAGCTAATGTTTTTTAAATTTATTCCACCTAATTTCAGTAAGAATTTCCTAACCACATAAGTTGTGGACTTCTGATTAGAGACTTAAAACATAATTCTGAGAAGGCAGCAGGCTTCTGAGCCATGTCTATGATTTAACAGTCTGAAATCCAATTGCCAGAAATCATTGGTTTTCTCTGTTTCAGCAAAAAAATTCTATATTCATTTTGAAACTGGGAACCTTTTAAAACTTTAACCAAGATCCAAAGTATTTAAACTACAATTGTAATTTCCAAACTGGCCTAGAAGTACATTGACCTAAATGTACATTGCGTACAAATGTACCAAGCAAAGGGTACAACTCTGCTCAGTTTTAATGCTGCAGACAACAAAAAGAGCTCCTTCTTTGATCTCCTTCCCTTTAAAGCCCCAAGTTAAGATTTTTTTAAGGTCATTATATATTTAGCAGAGGGACAAGGATATAGTTTATTTTCCCCATAACTCATTCTTCTTAAGGTGCATCATACCATACCACACATCAGAAATAACAATGTGTAACTTTGAAATGAGTCTTCAAATTACTGAAATGAATAGGATTATAGGTAGGGAAAATATGCTTTTTTACACTATTTAGTACAGTCAGAAATAGTTGCCAATGTTCTGGGCCCAGGATCATTATCTTAAAGACTACCTTATGATAGCTATTTGCTAGAAAAATACATTGCATATGGAAAATTTCCCAGCAGAACATAAAATGGCATCAGCAACACTTACTGTTCACATAGTGAAAATATAAAATGATAAACAACATGTTTTTCTCTGAAATGCAGTTTATTGAAAAACTAAAAATGAAAAATGTCATCTGGATAGAAGAAAATCATTCTCACCTTATCAGATTGAGTATTCTCATGCAAGATCCTAGCATCAATAGCAGCAGCCAGCAAATTATTTGCAGCAGTTATAGCATGAATATCTCCAGTCAAATGAAGATTGAACTAGAAGGGGGAAACAATAGGATCTTTTTATAAGAAAATATTTAATTCAATTCACTAAGACAAATTAGCAGCACAAATCATTGCTATCTCCTTGAGACTGCAGCTCTGATTAGTCAGCTGTCAGGACAGGCTAAAGAATTCCAGGTGAAAATACACTGGGCCATATGAAGAACTTGTTTTCATCTGAGCACATGGTAAACTACCCTTTAGTGTGGCCAAACAAAGCCAAGAACATCTTCATTCTTTGCTAAATGATTCAAGAGTAAGAAGCCCAGAGTTACAGTTCCACATCATTAATATGGAATCAGTTTAGCACTACTACCCACTGCCTGGTCTGGAGCAGAGGTGTGCATTACTGCTGAATGTGCCCCAGAGCACAGCACGCATCCTGGCTTTGGGGCCATAGCCCGCTTTCCTTTAGCTGCAGGAGAACAGCCCCTGACCTCACAGGCATGAAATTTGCTGATACAAAATTTAACAAACAAAGTTTTGTGAAAACTCTGAGATGAGCCTCTCAAATTAAGACTTGTGTTACACAGGTACTGTATTTTTGTGTGTCTGACAGAAGGAGTTGGAAGGTCAGTTTTAATGGCACTTCAGGGCTGACATTAGGACTCTGCTTGGATCAGCTGTGCATGGTCAAGGTGGTTCCTCACCAGTTCTAGCCATAGAGAGGTTTTGCTGAGCTCTAAATTAGACTCTACTGGGGTAAAACAGCCATACATTTCCAAACCAGCACTGTGAATGTCACAGAATCATTAGGGTGGGAAAAAACCTCCAAGATCACCAAGTCAATCTTCAGCTATGAATATCACCATGCTCATTAAGCCATCCCACAGACTGCAGGCTGAGGCTGTCTCACCTCCTCCATGGGGATCACTTGAGCATATCCACCTCCAGCTGCTCCACCTGCACAGGGAAGCACACAGTCACATCAGTTTTGGAAAAAAAACAACCATCTTTAAACACACTAAGTGAAACACACAGCAATGATGACACATTTTTGACATTTTGATTTCTATTAGAAGATCAGTGATGCACCCAAATAAACATGATTTCCTTAATCTTGCTGGCTTTTTTTTTTTTTTTTCCCAGTAGGTAGCAAAAAGGGAATTCTTGCTCTGAAATGAAAAGCTACACGTGATGGGTGGTGCAGGCTCTGGCTACGTAAATCCGCTCCTGCCCGGATTTAGGACACAGTCATGCACATGCAGCTGCTGGGTGGAAAGACAAAGCAGTCACAAGCAAGCACTGCTTCTGAATGAAACCTTCACATCCTCGCCAGGGCACTCCTTCCCCTCTACCTCTCATGGTACAGGCAAAGAAATTTGCTGTTGCCTACACACAAGCTGAGTGGAGGGATTAAAGCACTCACACGCACCAGTCTTAGCTGAGAAGCACCAAGCACCAGGAGCCTTCCAGCTGAAACCAAACTTGTTAACTTAAACTTCAGCAAAGCAAAGCAGAGGAGCTGGGGAGTGCTTGCCCAGTTAGGCACCAATTTCAGCTGAGAAATGGCAAAAAAGAGATTGCATTACTTCCTATCATCAGCATTGAAGATGGGCTTGAAATCTGGCTGGGTCTTACCTGGCCCTCAGGCTCTTACAGGATTTCTAGGCAAAAAGGCAGCAGCCCACGGTTAGAGGAGACAGCTCAGGAGAACAGAGAGAAGAGGTTCAGACCTAGCCAAACGTGTGCTGCTGACACTGCTGACACAACTGAACCATAACTCCCAAATTCCTGGTACTGCTTGTGAATATCCAATGAGGACCCTTTCTCAAGGAGCAATTGGACAGTAATATTTAGAAATGTATTTAAAGAGTCCCCACGTAGAGGGGTGGCTGGAAGAGTGTGTACTCACACAAAATTCCTCATGGCTAATTACATCCCTCTGCCTTTCCTTATGTTTAGGGTTTATCTGCATTATCAGTACATGTTAAGTGCAGGAACATAGGTATGAACCTTGCACAGGAAGTCATGTGTTAATCTATTTGTTACATACGTATTAAAAAATCAAATATGCTACGACTGGGACAATCCACTGAGTGAAACAATTAAGAAAGTAAAACAGAAGAAATAAATTCAAAAAGGCAGAAAAGCAGTATTTCCATTTAATCTGAAAAAGGTCATAGGTTCTGCAAATATTATGTACCTTTCACTCCAAAAGTAGGTCCTTGAGAAGGTTGTCTCAGACAAGCAAAGGAATTAATGTTAAGGTGGGCAGTAAGCGCCTGAACGAGACCAACTGTGACTGTGCTTTTCCCCTCTCCTAGGGGTGTAGGGGTTATTCTAGCAAAACAAGAAAAAAGATTAATCAAATTCTTTGCTGATGTCAGCCTGGCTAAGGATATCAGAACTTAGAGCTTTTGATTTCAATGAAGAATATTTGTACAGCAAATTTCAATAAGATTACTTTATCTTCACAAAAATACTGCCACAATGTTAGCCCCTAGCTCAAGCTGGAATGCTAATATACATGTGTCTTCTATTTAAGCAATTTACTATGATAGCAGAAAAAGAGAAGATTATTTTGGCAAAAGTTCTAAAAAGAATATATTGAATTTAGACATTTTTATTACAGCGCAAAAGTCTCACCAGTGTCATTAACAAACCATCCATCACGATACTCTAAGCATGTATTAATATTTTTCTGCAGTAATGCATGAGATCTTTTATTCCCACTGTTCAAACTTTGAATGAAACAATAGAATATTTTAAGTTAAATAACCAATGCTTTTCTTTGTAGAACTCAGCTATGCCTCTCCAGCTTCCATATCACCATAACCCTCAACAATGACAGAGCAACTGCTTTTTAAATATAACAGGACACAAAATCCACTATATTCAATTGAACATGATTCATTGTACACTTCTGTTTCAGAGATTTAAGGGCAATAGGGGACAGTGACAATCACAGTCCACACAAAAGATCAAAAGCCTCATGCTACTGCTCCCATATTTAGACCATGACTGAAACAGGACAGAATTTTAAAAATACCTGCAAACTCGAATCAGAGACTCTAACCTCCACTCTATTCTTGTCCCTAGAGAAGACTCTATTCTTGCCCCTTTAATAAAGGGACAATGACAGCTGATTTTGCAAGTAGAAAACTTCATCAGCCTTCAGTGAACAAGAGACACCTCAGTTTCAATGATCCTCTCCCTACTTTCAACATCAGCACATTTGTTTATGATCCATCTTAAAAGTGTATGTGGTGCTAGGGTTTTTCTTCTCTTTCTGTTTTTCTTTCTTGATGTATGAACACATCTCATGGCTCCAAAATGCATTTCAATGATTCTTTTGAGGCAGCATTTCTCTTTCTGATTGGCAAAAGAAGAAAGCCCCAGTCCTTTTTCCATTCACACCACTCTCACACAAATCTTCCTTTTTGGCAAAGAGTAACCATTCACATCTTTGGTGCCTTTTCTACCTGCAGAGAAGTACTTTAGTGAAGCTGATGTAAAAACTAGTGCTCATTCCCAAGGAACTACAAGCATGCACATGGATCTAGTCAAAGGGGAACCCTTATCTTGTGACCTTTTCAAAACTTGAGCTGAAACATCTAGCTCTAATTAGAAACACTTCCTTCCCCAACTAGCAATTTTTCCAAGATATTCCTATCCTCAGATCACAATTCAAATGGCACAAAAAAAATCAGAGTAATTGTAAGAATCAGCTTAGTTCAGTCAGTTCACAGACTGGCAAAAGCTCTTCTTCGTCCCACAAGAGAAAATAGATGAAAAATGTTAACTTTTCATAAATCTATCTTTTACAGCATCATCAGATCCTTGGCTTATACTTTAAAAAAGTAAAAGCCCTGGATAGATATGTCTGGGAAAATGTGGGCAGTTTGGAAACAAGTCAAATCAACATCTTTATACTGTTCTAGGGAAAAAAATAATTCAGAAATGTAGTCTTTTAACTAAAGTTTCAGTGAAATCAATGGGGTTAAGCACATCTATAAGAGATTCCCTGAATTCTTCACTTTGAACTACTCTTGTGTGGCCATGGGCCACTTATTTGGGCACTTGGTTTTAGCAATTTTCTCCCACATTTTATAACATTGTGTTCACCAACCATCAGATTCTAAAACATCATCAGTAACTTGCTATTCATTATCCTAGACTATTTAATTATCCTAGAATCGCACTTCTTTGACTTAAAAAAGAATTCACAGAACTCTAGCAAAGTATCTATGTAGAGCCAAAAAAAAAGGTGAGAGATTTAGACCAAAAGCAGTTTTGGTCCTTGTAATTTTTTTATCCATACTAGGCCTTCTTATTTCCTTCTGATCTACTGCAGGAGCACAGAATGCTACTTCATTTCTTTTACTTTCAAGTTTGCAGTTCCTAGAAGAAAGGATACTTTTAATCTCTGCACTGTCAGGACAAGGAGCCCTCAGAGCTTTACTGTTGCCACACAGAGAGCTTCCTTTTTTCCCCACACACTCTTTCTCACCTCCTTTTTGTCCCAGGATCCTTACTTTTGTACAAATGTGTTTCTTTCAGAGCATCACAGCCAGGTTAACTCACTTTTACTACCAGTTTCACCTTCTGACTCCTGTCTTAACACTGGTTTCCCCAAACCCATTCAAGTAATTCTTAGCATGGTTTCTCCTTATCCCTTGTTCTCCTCTACTATCTCATTCACTTTTGTCTATTGTCCTAATCTCTTTTACTTGATCCTCTTATTCCTGTGCATTAGAACCATATATAAGGCATATAAAAGTAATCCTGAGGCATTACTGTGTTAAAAGACTTAACAAGGTAACAAATCATGAAGCAATTATTTAAAAATAATAACAAAAAAAAAAAAACCCAAAACCAGAAAAAACAGTAATGAAACACTCAAAAGAAAAGTATTCTACTATGAAGGAGAGACCTGTAATTGTTTACTGGAAGTTGCCAATAAAGAACTTTCCAAAAACTCTGTGCACACAATGGCTGCACTACTAACAGAAAAAATTACATTTGCAGGGCATCCTGTTGGTGGCTACCTCTAATTTTGAGCATCAGGCACATGAAGTTCGCACTCAAGAGAATTCAGAGACACCATCCCTAGTTATTTACTTGGTTTCAGCTCAAAATGTGGCAGGTGGCTGATCTGGCATGCACAGCAACACAGGGACTCTTCACAACTCTTATGAAACCAGTAAAATCAAAGATGCAGCCTTCATCCAGCAAAGGAAATGAAACTGCAATTGACAAATGCATGACCAGAACTCATGTTGGTAGCATAAAGAATAATATCTCCTTGTCACAGAAGAAAACAACACACAGTCAGTCAAGTGTCACGTTACTAAAATGCTTTGGTAACTTGACTGGCCTACTCTAACATGACACGGTAATATGAACCAGAAAGCACTGAGAGTTTTCTATGAGACAGACCTTTTTCCAGAAAGCAAAAAGAGCTGCTCTTTCATTAAACTGGCAGGAAACCTCAAGAGCTAAGCAGTTATTTATTAGTTTCAACAATTACCAAAATCTCAGCTTTAAACATTAGTTAAAAGAAGAAGAAAAAAAACCCACCTGAAATTTAAAGAAAATTCTATTCCAATAATTTTCTTTTGAAAGTTTATTTTAAATATCTTCCCTTTTGTACCTGCTCTGCTTTCACTGGGGTTTATAAATGAAATAATCCACCTAATCTGTTTTGTGGACATTGAGCTGTTTTTGCTGGCTACACTACTGAGCCTACACTCTTGCAGCTTAGGTCACTTGCTCACATGGGTATAAAATTACAACTGCCAATGGCTAACTTTAGCTCAATTGTGCAATGCTGTGCTTTAACCTTATGCAAATTAAGGAAAAACCTCCTTTTAAATGCAATAAATTTTAATGAACTTCAAGAGACTTTAATAGCCATTTGCATTATTCTTCAAATTTCTTTAGTATGTTTTCAATCAAAACACAGAAACCCCACAATAATTTCCCGCCTTAAACTTTGCCACCTACCAAGCAGTCATCAGTTCCCTGGCAAAGTAAGTTTTCCATAACATTGGAAAGCCTTCTCTCTTTATGTATACCAAAACAAAGATAAGAATATGCAGACTTTTTGTTTGTTTGTTATACATCACATTAGCTTACAGCAGAGCTGTTTCTGTGGGAAAGCTACACGAGGTCTCCCAAAGAGAAAATAAACAAACAGGGAGATGTACACTGCACCAGCTGTAACCTCCTCACAGCTACACCAGCCACCGTGACTCCAGCAAGAACTTCACTGCATATGTGACAATTCTCTTTCAAAGTTTCTATGTTCAACTCATAAGTATCAGCAGATTCAAAGATTTTAATGAGTTCATAATTTGTGTGATCCGCATGGAAACCTGCAAAGCCAGGCTATGGAGGCCATGGGCAACTGAGTTCCCACCTATGGACATCTCCCATCCTAGATTACAATTGTCAAAGATGTATTTCTGAGCACAGAAGTGTTGCAACTGCTGTCACCTCATCGAGATGAGGCTATGGCAATGTTACAGTGGCATCCTTGGGTTGGGACTGGAGCTTCCAAATACAAAAGCACAGAGGTCACTATGAAGCTAAAATGACTGAACAAAGACAGGAATAGACTCAGGAATCCTCCACTGCAAACTCTCATAATCCACTACAGACTCATACACGACAATCCCAATAAGGAGCTGAGTAATGACATGACCAATACATGACAGCTGTCTCAACTACGACTTTACCTTGGACTGTCAGACAATTCAGAGCATCAACACAGGGGTATTTTTCCCTCTTATCCTTCCCTGTATCTTTCCTCTAATTTTTATTTTCCTTTTTTCTTAGCTTTTAAGCACCTTGCAGCCCAAGGGACATAGTAAAATGAAATACAATACTTTTTTCCCCTCCATTTTTACCTCACTGAAAAGGTAGTTCATCACAGAACAATCTATTACTGTTAGGAGAAAAGTACTGGTTTTAAATTTTCCAGCATTCAAAATCCAACACATTTCTTGTTAAAAGCAGAATTGTATTTCATCATTTTCCCACTTTTTATTCTTCCTCATCTTGCATTTTTGAAGTGAGCAAGTTTCCAGAATTATCTGCTAAAAGTCACAACACTGGAGCATTTAGAAACAAGATACCGAAACATACACACACACAGACATAGATTCTAATAAACTGCAGCTGTAATTTCATATTGTGTCTGTGAATATGCCATGTACATGCTTGAGTACACGATTAGGTTACCCTGAACACTAAACTTAGCTCCTAGGTCAAGCACAAGCTGCATTCATTTGCATGCTCTCAGCTGGCAATGAGTGGAGGCAGTTTGAGTTAACAGATCCTGTGATGTATTATTTAGCACACTAAAATCCTGTTTGCAGGCAGTTGATGCCCAAGAACCAATTACTCCACAATAACTTGTGGCTCTGCCCCCCCAGTGTCTTAACACAAGCCCTAGAGCAAGCCAAACACAAAGAAAATAAAAAAGCAAAAATGAAAAAAAAAAGATAAAAGAATGGTCTCCATATAGAGGTAAATGGAATTTTTGAAGAAATAAAGTCTTGATCTTATTTTTGGGTGTTATGATCTGTTCATCACACTGCATACAAAGTTTATAATACTTCAGCATACAAAGTTTATAATGGATGAGACACTTAGCCATATTTGCTTGCATTTAGAAGGAATAAAAAAGACTGCAGTTAGCAACTTTTTAAAGAGCCCTAAACCTTCCATAGAGATAAAAAGGTACATTTCAGTTGCATTTTCCTGCTCAGAACAAGAAGTTTGGTCTTTAGCATATCAGGAATAAACTATACATGCATCTGCAGCAAATATTTATAAATTCCTAGACATTGTGAAACATTTAAATCTGAATGTGCAATTAAAGGCACAAATGTCACTGGCTGCATCATGGATGGAGGTTGGAGGTTTTGCAGTTTCTTGAATACACACACACTTTACACTCTTTTCACACACAAGAAGTTCCCATCATACATTACAAATGTTTCCACCAGAACTGTAAGTATAAACATATATCTTAAATATTTCCTCTGAAGCATTGAAAATTTATTCTGAAGGCTTCATTGCACTGCATCATTCTAAAATAATTTTAAAATACCTTTGGTTACTGTGAACAAACACAATAATCCAAATAGCAGGTTCTGGTTGACCTTGCCTTGGCAAGGGAGAGAATGAAGGCAAAGGAGGATATGTCACTCCCCAGTTTCCACACTTCTATGATACTTGATTGCATTGAACACTTCCCCATCAGACAGAGTTCCCTGCTTTTCTTAAAATCATTGTCATCTGCTACAGCCATTTCAGCAAGGGAGAGCAGCTGAGAGCATATAAACACATATTATATGTATATTTTATATGTACTATATTTCAAAGTCAAGCTTTGAACTCTCTCAGAAGAGAATGTTCCCACTATTGTAGTGACCCTGCCCAGGCACTTCTGCAGCAGATGTGGCTTTGCACTAACCCCACAAGATGCAATGACTCCAGAGATGTTACAAATAGCAACATATTGCATCACCAGCTTGGCTAGGTACCAAACCCAGCCCTTTGTTTCTGAAACACCATTCTGTATTGGTACATCTGATGTAAACTTAAAAGAGGATACAATTTTCTACTTTATGCCAGTCTTTTATCTTGATGGTCAAAGCTTCTGCATTTCTTCCACATGCAGAAACCAGCACTTCTTTCTGTGATAACTGCTTGAGACAACTTCTTTGAAGGAGAATGGGAGACAAAGAAGTGTGGAGAAATGTAAGCACTGGTGCATGCAATCTGACACAGCTGAAATCCACCCGAATGGGGCTCTGCAACTTGTGCTATCTTTGCAGCTCCAGACATCTTCAAATAACCTCTTCTTCTGAGAGAGGTTTGTTGCTAGGGAAGCCTGGATTGGTCTGCAGCATGATGACCAATTGATGCTGTTGACATCATGTGCATGAAAATACATGGCAGCAACTTTCTTCAAACTCAGTCAAATGCTGAACCTGTTTTTGTTTCTCCAATGCCACAAAAACCCAAACCAAAATAAAACTATGCCAAAGGAAACCATGCTCAACAAGTTGTTATTTCCTTCTCTTAACTGCTTCAGCATCCTCCAGGAATATCTTCAACACTGGACTTCTATCACATAGCTTTGAGGAAAGCCTCATATCTTGCCTGCCTCAGCTTTGTGACATCAAGTCAGACTACAACAGCTCCATCTCAGTGCCAGAAATCCAGGTTGTTCCCACAGGAAGACAGTAAAGCAAACAGTTAGAGAAACACCAGCCAAAGTGAGGAATCCGTAGGTAAAGGCAGTTAACAACAGCCTTCTCCTTCTGCATCAGCCAAAACTGCATTTTAAACCTGACTGGTTTGTTAAAAGGAAGCAATCAATAGATTAACTCAGAATATAAAGACACACTGCAATTTAAGTATTAATGAAAACCTTCACGTTTGCTCACAAGTAGAAGTTTCCACTTAGTAAATGAGGTGAATGAAAAGGTTGTGTCACTGAATGCAACAAAAACCTGAAGCTCTTCAGAAGACAAGTGTGCAATTCCTGCTGAGCATTGCATTTGCTATAATCGTGGGAAAAGCAAGCAGGATAAGCCTGCCTGGAGACATGTCTGCATTTCAGAGAAAAAACATGGCTTTTTAAACTTTGTAATCTGTTCTTCAATAAAAAAAGTATTTATTGTTAATATCAACAGATTAGCATCTAGCTTCTGTTAATGTTTGTTTATAAACAGCCACAATGCAAGCAGCCTTAAATATCCAAGTTAAACATTTAAAATTCTGATAAAACAGTAAGAAAAACTCCACTCACCAACATTTCACAGAATCATAGAACAAATTACCTTTTATAAAATATACTTTAATTCAGTAAAAAGAGTTTGGAAGAAAAGCTGTGTTACTTCAAAGAAGTTCAAAACCTGCTCACTGTCAGAAAAGAGCAACATACAGATGAAAACATTCAAGATTCTTATTTGTACAGAGTATAAAAAAGATGTAAGTTGCATGTTTATATTAATAAGAGTGGAAACAGCAGACATTAATGACATTACATAGCATTCTTACCCAGCAACTAGAACATATTTTCCATCTGGTTGATCCTTTAACCTTTCCAGCAGGGACAAACGTACTTTGGCTTTGGTTTGGCCATAGATCTCAATTTCATCTGTAAGCAATCCTATCTCCTTGGCAAGTACATCAACAGCTTTTGGACTCTGTGCTCGGGAAATCTCAATATCACTGGAAAAGAAAACAAATAGGAGCCAGGAGATTTCTCTCAGCTTAGGTGGTCGACAACAGAGCACAAAACAACAGCAAATAATCCAACAATGGAGTTATTGTAATGAGTTTTTTAATTCCCCTCTCACATTTTATTAACCAAACCTAAATATTAACTAACACCTAATATAACATTGAAAATCACACACAGAGTTTGTTAATTGTTACAGTTTCACAGAGAGCTCTCCTTTAATCAGATTCCAAATATTACGTAATGCTTTCATATCAAGCTAGAAACGTGTCTGCTGGATGCTCAAGCACGTCCCACTGGAATGGATGTTTCTGGATTTGTTTTTCCCCTTTGTTCTCCTCCCTCACAGCACATTTCAGCACATACAATTTACTAAAAAGTGCATGCATTCCTTGGCCAACAGTCACACAAACACACTCGCTACACCCAAAGCTTGTGCACGCAGTGCTTTTCATCCGAGGGCAGCGCCACCATCGCTGCTGTCCACGAGGGCACCAAAGGAAACAAGGCATTTGAAGACCAACTCATGCACTTCTGAAACACAGCTAAACTAAGAATGGCCACAGAGCAGGAGTCTACAGCACAGAGCTCAGACAAAACATCCACTGAGCTTACAAACTACCTCCAGCAAGGGTGAGCAGCAGCTGAGGCAAGCCACAGATTCCCGGAAGGAATGTGGCTGCAGGGGACACTATTGTAACTGCAATTCCTGACCTAGACAACCTGAGGTCTTTGGATTTAATATTCCATCATGGATTTTGCATTTGTGAGCTTGACCTCGTTGCCCATTATGTCCACATAAGCGTGTAGAAGCTGTAAGCTCCTGCAGCATGGAAGCCCAGGGGCTGGAACACAGGATGTGAAGAGTTGTCTCCTTGGGCTTTGAATTGCTCACACTACCACAAAAACAACTTAAGAAATTACTTTCAGCCTAACCAGCCTAAATTTCTTCCTGTAGTTTCAGATGATCACAGTATTTTTAAGACAGAATCTGGCAGTGTCATGAAAGCCCATGTTCTGAACTTTCAAACATTCTGCAAGACCTTAAATATCCACCAGTGAACATAAAACTACAACCAGATGTCAACTCTGTGTGTGTACTTCAGCCATTCTGCATCCACTCGACAAATGATCAGTCCGTGCCAACTTAATGGCTTGGAATTCTTTGAGAAAATCCTAAACTGGCTCCATTATCAATTTATAGCTCTCAGGTATCCCCCTTTTGCACCCCGCAGCAGGTAAGTGAAACCCAGAAACCACCCACCCAAACAATGGCATAATCCAGTACTACAGGACAAGGAGTTACTCAATCACAGTACTAAGCTGGAACCTGCTTTCTTTCAAAGACATACTAAGTGTATCCTCTTTCACAGAAGGATATACCTTCGCCTTCCTATGCGTGACTTCAAACACAGCTAGCCATAAAAATTAAATGAGAGCACAAGATGGACTGGCTTACAAACATCACATTGCAAAGACCATCTGAAGGTTTCACTTAGAACTTCCAATATATAAACAACTCAAATCCCAGAAAACTCTTGCTAAGTTGGTGGTAGTGTGGTCCCTTAAAGATCTAAGAAATTAAATTTGACAGGGTGACTATTCTCCTTAAAATAATTGATACATTTAGCAAGAGGAGAAAGATACAGACTAATACGACAACATTACTTTCCATTTTTTTCCTCCTCCTAAATGTATTTTCCCAAGACACAGAAAATTAAAGACTGGGTTATACCTGGACTTTAGAAGTCTATATTTGTTGCTGACTCTTTTACTCTGACAATATATTCTCTGTATTGGAAATACCAGAATTATTCAATATGTTATGTTATTCAGTATTGCTGGAGATGTGCAAAAGTGGTTCTTCTGCATGAATGAAAACTGTTAAGCAAGAAGTCCACTACTGACAATGCTAAGTGATAATTTACAAAATACAGAAAAATTTAAAAGACGGAGGAAGGCTCTACATCTACTCACCTGACATTTCTTTTTTACTGCATACTGTAAAAAAATTTTCCATTCCATTTCCAATATATATGGAAATACTTCAACCCAGATCTCACAGAAATCAAAAAGCAGATGTTCTTAGTTTTAGTGCTTAAGCAGCTTTGCCTCACTTTCAATGAATACTCCATCTGTTTCCACACAACGTGGTGTATTACTGAAAGCTTACATTTTATTACAGGATACTTTCCATCTGAAGGGATTTTTTACATTTAAAAGAAAAACGACAAAGCTATAGAGTTAGCAGATAAATGCAAGTCCTATTACTAATTATATAATATTTATTATACTATACATATTATATTATGGTGTATATATATACACACACACCCCACTATTTATTAATTATATAATTATTGATGTACTAAACACACAATGTCATAGAGAGGGTTGGGAATACCTTTTAGTGAGTTTTTTTTTACCATTACCCTCATGACATCACATACTTTAACTTTTAATTGCATTATTTAAGGATAGTTTTTTAGGCTTCAATTCTAAAAATTGAATTCTAGAATTCCAGAAAAAGCTCAAGCATTTCTGCCTCCTTGTGTCCCTGGTCACAAGGGAAAACTCATTCTTTTGGCATCTCTGGTTTAAATTACATTTGTGTTCATTCCCATTGAACTGTTGTAAGAGACAGTGAAAAATAAATCAAAATACAACATTTTGTCACAGCTTTCCAAAACGACACCAGCAGGATTCAGAATTACAGAATCATAGACTGGCTGGGGTTGGAAGGGACCTCTAGAAGTCATCTGGTCCAACCCCCCTGCTCATGCAGGGGCATCTAGAGCTGGTTAGTTGCCTATGTCCAGGTGGCTTCTGAATGTCTCCTAGGATGGACGCTCCACAACCACCCTGCACATCTGTGTCAATATTTGGTCACCCTCACAGTGAAGAAGTATTTCCTGATGTTCAAATGGAGCTTCCTGGGTTTCAGTTTGTGCTCACTGCTGATGGTTCTGTCCCTGGGCTCCATTGAAAAGAGCCTGCCTCATTCCTGTTTGTATTACTGTACATTGTATTTAGACACATTGGTAAGATCCTCCTATCCTCCAGACTATGGGGTTCCAACTCTCTCAGACTTTCTTCTGGTGCCAGGTTCCTTCGGCATCTGCAGAAGCAGGTGTATCAATAAGCACAAAAAAAATGTTGACACTTTCCTCACTTTCAAGCCATTGGTTCCTCTCTCTGTCACCCAACACAACCAACACACAGCAAAGCACTTTAGCAAAGTGAAGAGCTCAGACTGCTTTAAATATCAGAGATGTCAGCAATCATGCCAAGGCAGACCTGAAATCCCTGAGGCCCAGACACGGGCCTTGGGAAGTGAATGACAGGAGCTGATTGAAAAGATTCTGGCTATGAGAATAAATATGCTTCCTGCTTTTCACACCCACACAGGAATTTAAAAGTCTAATGCAGAAGAAAGTACTTCTACTGAGGGAAGAAAATAAATACAAACTCAAATGCCACTGAAACCACTGAGCCTTAACTAAACACCTTCCTACACCAGGGTTCAGCCATTAGGAACCTCTTGCCTTTTGTATTTCTGTTGGTGTTGCACAAGACTTCTCCTCCCTTTGACAATGAAACCTTCCAGCTTCAGGACTTCATGAAATAAAGCTTGGCTCCAATGTAAAAATCAAAGTAAAAATCGATATCAAACAGAAGCCCACGGTCATGATGAAGCGTACAAGAGAATGGCACAACATATAATCCATATAAGATTAAAAATTATTTAGGCACAGCACATTTTTAAGTTGTCACACTTGCTTGCTCTTTTTAAAAATATTTTTCACTTTTTTTTTCTTTAGAAGCACTTATTACCTGGGCACTGGGGAGACAGGCTGCAGTTTCAAGCTGTGGAGGTCCCACTTCCTGTACTGCTGGGACTGGATCCATCGCTCCATGTTTTTTACCATGTTCTGGTTTTAAACAAGAAAACAGCACACAACAGCTGCATCATAAATGCTGAACAGCAATTTCAAACAATCTCTAGAGTATGTTGAAATAACTTCTACAGCAAAGGCTAACAAAAAGCCCCAAACTTAAAAATTTTTCCATTTCATGGTTTTAGGACAAAGTAAGAGCCACTTTTCTATTGTATGACCACATTTCAAAAAGGAACAATCCCACTAACACATAAGTGGCAGAGAAGATTCTCTAATTAGGCAGTTGGACATTTTATTCTGATCAAGACAGAGAATTACTATTCTTCTCTCACACCTTAAAAATAATGGAAGATACTGATTGTTCACTGACTGACACATGCTGCTTCCAAAATTAAATAATATAGTTTTGGGCCCTCTATCCATTTTAATGCAAAAATGCAGATACAATTAATCTTCTCAGTCTTACCAAAGTGAGTGACATTAGCCTATTGACACAAGTGCTTCTGCCAACCTTTACTGTATTAACCACAATTATGAGATGTCTGACTTTTAATTTACCTTTCTCTAATTAAATGCAACAGGTATTACTCTATCTGATTAAGAGCTGCTATTAAAATGGAAGTCATGTAAGATGATCAAAAGAGTAAAACAAATACAAACTGTAGAAGCAATTTCTGCAACTTATAGAAAGAGCAACAAATCTGCAACATTGGTACAATCTACAAACAGAGGTACACTAACCTGCATTCTCATTGCTACTGCAAGAGAACCAACAGTCTTTTCAGCAGCAGGGTTGTTCTGCTGACCATAGCTGTGTTTCTCTGAAAAATATAAGTATTGCAGTTATAGATCACAAATCTTCTGTGAGTGGGAGCATGTGTATTTGAAAATTACATCCAAATAAAAAATTTCTGAAGGTTGACTTGAAATTTAACAATATTACTGACAAAATTATAGGTGGCTTCTCTAATACTTCAAATGAAACCAACCAGAAGGATGAATAGACTATGAAAATCAGAGAGTAACTGTATGTTCTGAAACATATTACATAAACCTACACAAAGAAATTCGCACAGCTGTATTTGAAAAGCTACATACATTCTTAAACAGAACACCTAAATGAGCATGGTAAAGACTGTCTTCTCTTTGACACACACACTACAGTGGGCAAGAACAATGAAATGATCACAAATACCATACAGGATTATTATAACTTAGAAATAGTAGATGCAATTTTTTTTTTTTTTTTTTGAATAGCAACAGTTATCTTCATCAGCATGATACTAAAAGCAGGTATTCTGGATAGTCTACACAAAACAGAGTGACTTCAACTTCAGAGACAGCTATAATTGTTTCTAGTGGCAATATATCAAATGATAATCATACATTAGCTACCCCAACTAAACATATTATTTTGTCATTTTGCTGTAATCCTTCTTCTGGCTTGTTCTTCTGTTGTTGCTCATTGACTTTTATCTAGACACAATTTCTCCAAAATTCACATCCTAGTCTCTGTGGGCATATCAAGGCCGTGGCCACATTCTGAAGGGCGTAGATATAATTGTAATAAAAAATAACAAATGTACGCTGACAGCTTTAACCTTTCTGCCACGGGGGAACTGAAGTGCAAGCCCTGCCCTGGTCAAGCTCTTGCTCTGTTCACCCCTTCTGTACTGGTCATAAAAGGCTCACGTTTCCTTGCACAACCACCCCTCCCAACAAGGGTCCCAGACAGCAGGGCACAGGACACACAGACTGGAGACAGGGTGGCAGCCACAGCCCACTCTCCCACACCCACTGCTGAGGGAGCAGGAGACCCTCCCTGCAGACCCTCAGCCTCACTCCATGTGTTTCCTGACCCTTTCTCAAACCTTCCTGCCAGCAGGCATCCACACATCAGTGACACAGCTAACCAAGCTGAAGGCAACAGTCCTCATATTAAACTCTAATTAAGAAAGTGTCTGAAAAGTCCTTCTTGCGTTAACATTTGCAATTAAAACAAACAAATAAATAAACAAAAACCCAACAATTTCTTCTGGAGATGCTCAGCTTTAGATTTAGACAGAGGAGTTTTACTAGAAAAGTCTATTACAGTCATAAGCTGACTCTTGTTGCTTTGAGACCAGGCTGGGAGAGCTGCCAAACAGACAAATGAAGTAGGAAGAATGAAGTTTAAAATCCCCTTTCAGACAGCTGTGCTTTACAGAAACATTTTGACTTTTTATGTTATTTGGCTTAATTCAACTATTTTTATCAGGGCAGAGCTAGCATGTGTGTAAATACATATTAAAATTAGACAATTCCCTTCAATAAACTATTTCTCTCAGACTGCCTATGCTACACAGTCACCCCACAAATGACTAACCAGGCTTTTACAGGGGTGAAGGGGAAGCTAGAGGTGAAAGTCATGCATGCATGGAGTTAGCAAGACAATCACAGGATTGCAACAGCTCTCCTAGGATAAATTTTCCACATGGAAGCTGCAATAGCACTCTCTGCTTCAGACTATGGTCAGTTCAGCTGAACTTTAGATATTGTGCTCCCTCCTCTGACTCATACCCTATTGTGCAGGTGAGTGAGAGCTGCTGCCATGTGCTACCTGTCTGCTCAGGCAGCTCAGAAGAGAGAAGAGATGGGGAAATGGTTGAATTTCCCACTAACATACTTAAACCATGTGGGCTTCAGTTTTCAAGTGACCCCAAAGGAGTTGGACATCAAATCTCAAATAATTCTGTCATCCTTAAGTTTTGTTCAGAAAGTTACTTTCATTTCCATACATTCACATATAAAGTATATTCCTGCAAGACTCTACCAGCACTCACCTGATTCCAAGACTGTCAGTGCAACAGAAGCAGATGTTGCACTGCTAGAAAATTGCAGAATGTTTTAAAATTGTGATAATTTAAAAACCTTTGGTCAAAAAATACTTGAAAAAGAATTGCCACTTTGGAGTGAACACTTTTATCTCTACTCTCCTGATTTACAACATTACATTTCCCCAGTTCAGCTACATGCTTGGAAATTCTGAGTGCTTTTAAAACATGCAAGTGTGTTAGACAACATGCACACCCACACAAGTTGGAAATCTAGCCACCATCTACCAAGAACAAATGTTATTTCATGGCCATTATTGCTTTCAGGCTTCATTTAGCTCCTGTGACCCCACAGATGTTAAGTCGGACATTTCTAAAGCAAGAAAAAATCCAGAACAATTTCCAAGCACCTCAGCCAGATTCCATGGAAGTCAAGAGACAGTTATAAGACTCAGTTGTTTCTCCAAGGTCACAATTACCCCGCAATGGGCTTTCCACAAACATCTTGCATCTAAACTAAGTGCATTCTTCCTGTCAGACACCTGTGTTTCATGTTCCTCTCTAGTAAGCCTTGAGACCAACATTTTTATAGCTGGTAAAATGCATTTCTGCTGTAATTTTGGAGTTACCCCAAAGTTCTGACAACCTCAAAAGCATTACCAAAAGACAGAGAGACATTTGGTAGAGTTCTAGCTAGATTATCTTGATAAAAATCTCATGCTGTCTTTCAAAAAAAAATGCAGTACTCAACAGAGTGCTACAACTTGAAAAATGCAAAGAGATGTAGATGTTTATGCCAAATCTTACATTTCCTGCATTAGAAATGAACGTTACTGTGGTGTGCAATGCAGTTTTTCTAACAACACTTTCAGAGAAGGGAAACACTAATATTATCTATAGTTCTTTAGAGTAACTAAGGCATGAAGATATTTAAGTCTTAAGATGTAGCATGCAGTTATACTGCATAACTTTGAGGCCTGTGAAGGCTCAGACTCACTTCTCAATGCAGAGAATTAGGAATCTGAAAGTGGGGCTTGCACCAGGCAGCACACAGTGCTGGGAGAGTCCAGTCAATCCTGGTGCCCACTCAGGCTGCATGGACTGACTTACCCCATCCTGTCAGAACCACCCCAGGTCTGTCACATGAGAGGTTTCTGCCTTCAGGATTAAAATGAGGGGAGATTCCTATTTATTTATTTATTTATTTTTAGGTATGACTGCTGTACCACCACTCCCTCTCTTCTCTATTCCTTTCCCTTCCTCCCCCACTCCTCCTTCATGTAAGGCTGTGTCATGCTGGGTACCTGCTCAAGAGATCTGTGTGCCAAGCCCTGCCCTACAGATACTTTAACAATTATATCCAAAAACCCCTAGGGGCAACAAATGGGCATTAGAGATGCAAGGAGTCTCTTTGTCACTAGTCCAGGATTCTTTTTGGACAACTTGTGCAGCATCAGGAAGGGAAAAGGCTTGGTACCCACCCTTGATATCCTCAGCAGGATCAGAGATCTGCTTTGGGAGGCTGACAGTGAATGTCCAAATGCCTTCAGACAATCAAGTGAATAATAACCCAGATCTCCACACCTGCAGTGTCTGTTCAAGTCAAGGGTATATCATGAAAGACAAGGAAAAAATCTATTGCTAAGGCCATGCTTTGCATGGGAACAGCAGCTGCTCTTTTATGAGCCTGATCTTGCATTAGCTCTGCATGGAGTATCTGCTTCATTTGCCCTTAGGGAATACCCTTAGTTTAAAATCCATGCAATTAGGTTTTCTCAGCTTTATGCTCATTCCACACTTTTGGTCAATAGATGTAAATCTAGTGCACTTGTGATAAGATTTTAAAAAACCCCAGATTAATCAGTCATGCTATCCATGTACTTACTCATTTTCCTATTCATTTGCAGCATAATCTCATTGGGATGCTGAGCAGTCAAATTCATATACACACCAAAAATCTAGAAAATATCTAGATCTAGAAAATCTAGATATTCATAGAATTTTAAGAAATTTTACAGGAGATGTAAAATTACATGTTGTTTATTACTATTACACATTATTCTAGCAGCAGAGTAACTTCTGGGAAGATTTCTTAATTTTATTCCCAAGAAAATTCTGTAGCATTTTTTCAACTGAGAAATCATTGAACACATACACCCTCCACAACAAGTTAGGGGAAAAGGAAGGAGATGAATCCAAACCCTTTTTTGATGGAAAAATGACTGCAGGAGACATTCTGCCTCTTCTTAACTACACATGATTTCTGTACTCCCTCCTCTGCAGTTTCACAGCACTTTGCAGTTGATGTTTCTTCCCTTCTCCTTTTCCCATATTCCAGGTGAGCCCACAGAAGTCATAGGATAAAACACTACACAAAACAGCACTATGTAATAGCGCATCTGATGACCCAAAAAAGTCAACAGATGACGACTTTTGACTCTGAACACTCTGAATCCTTTGGGTCATCACTTATCTAACCATCCTGGTATGAAGAATCCGTTCCAACCTTTCTTCTCCCGCCCAACATCTTTTCCCTATTTATACACCAGAGAAAGGTGTGCACATGCCCTGTGCACACTCCTTTAAAGGCCCTCACAGAGATGCGGCTTTTAACCACGCTGCATTGTCACCAAGATGCCACACCCATCCCAAAGGCTCACTGCACACCACTGGCAAGAGCTGTTCCCTTTTATCACCTCTTACCTGGCAGAGGATCACGAGCACAGTTGATGATGGTGGCCCCAGGCTTTGTGCAGCTCACAGGAACACCGTGGGGTTTCGTGCTGCCGAACACCACCGCGTCTGCGTGACGGAGCTGGGCACAGCCCAAAGCACCCCCAGAAACAAAACAAGCACTTCATCTTAGAAACACACACTTGGATAGGCATCTTAAAAATATTCACACTTACACAGCAATAGCCTTTTGAGCAAAGCTTTTACAGACAACAAGAACAAAAACTGATCCAAACTGATAGTTTGATTCTTACCTGCAACGAAACTTAATAGCATTTAAAATTAAGTTAGGTAAACAAAATGTGAGATCAGGTGAATGAGGTCAAAGTATCAATATTTAATGGGAATTATATCCTTCCAAACAAAAAGTTCTACCATTGTCCTAAAGTCCAAAATAACTTTGAGTAACTTAAGAAAAAGAAGGGTTGAAAGACAGTAAATAGGCACTTATAAAGAGTACAGTCAGATTGTCTGACAGTAGAAAACCAGGCCAGCTGTCAGGAATGCAGGATGGCCCCTTCTGCGAAGATCAGTGCCTTTGAATACCAATTAAAGCACTTCTTTCCTTCTCAGCTCATGTCTGCTAATCACTGCCCCTGATTTAGCTCAACCCAGCAATGTTGGAGCAAAAGTGGTTACCACAAAAATTCTTATAATCAAAGACCCAAGTGCCTTTCTCTCCCCACTTCCTCTGAAACAGAGTCCTTTACCAGAATCACCATGAGATAATAGACAGCACCAGAGGCAGATGTATTGAGAAACACCAAAAAAGCAAAACACAGACATAGCATTGCCTCAAGCCTGACTACAAAAATTATTTCAGAAATGCAGCAGCTTTGGTAATATTTTGGATAAACGTAAATTAATTCCAAGTGTCACAAACCCAGTGAGCCACTCTGTGAATTGATTTGTGACTGACAAGAGTTCCAGCTTCTTTTTTGGCCAAAAGTGCTCTGACACAGCCCTGCCCAACACTCTTGCCAAGAAAGAACAGCTACAAATCTTGTCAGGATAGCAGGTTTTTGGCACAGCTGAGCATCCAGGAGGGGAGAAGAACGTAACTGCTGCGGAAAAGGCAGAAAACTAAAAAAACTCCATCTTCCCCTCAGAGGACCCAAGGATGGCCTAACCCTCCTTTGAGATCCCCATGTGGAAACAAAGACAGAAATGTGGGAGAAGGTTTACTTGCTTAACAAATTACTAATGCAATGAGCTGATTCAGGCTTCAGTCACAGGTCCAGCAACACTCCTGTGATTGCCTGTGCACAGCCATTCAGCCTTGTTCAAATTGGTCACACTCCTGAGTCTAATGCAAATATCAGCTTACAGGCCACTCCCAGAGGGGCACATAAGTCATAATGCTTGCCCAGTGTCAGGTCAAATGGTACTGGGAAATCTGCAAGGAAATCTGGATAAAAAGATGCTGCAATGCCTCATGTACCAAAAAAACCATGCTGAAGGCACACCTTACCCTGCAAAAGAAGGAAATCTCTGCTGTAACAATCAACATCAACACAGAGAAAAACAGTGATTTTTCTCAGTTGCATAATCACAGCCTTTTTTTTTTGCAAGGAAAAAATAATTCACATTCTAGCAGTTATAAATCATATACTGTAAGTCAAGATGCCTTTCCATGCAAAGCCTCTGGGACAAGGACTAAGAGCTTTGCGCAGCGCTTAGCATCGTGAGTTGATGAACAAGTTGAGACCTGTATGCAACAAGTAATAATTCTGATGAATGTTCAGCCAACATGCTTATGACAGAATTTATTCAATGTAACTGTAATGTCAGAAAACAACTGATGGAACCAAATATTCATCTCTATGACTACCGGCCCTAATGTTGAAAAATGTTCTTAACAGCTGAACACAATTATTTTTGTAGCCAACATTAACGGTGGTTCAGATCGCTAACATCACACATACCCATAAATTTTAGCAGAAAACCAGCTGGACCTTTCATCTCATTGCCCTGCCCCACCTCCTCCATGAAAAAAGTTGTATCACATGGCAGCAAGGAGTTGTAACATAGGCTCAAGACACACTGATTTCTCAGAGCCTTCCCCAGTGTGATTTCCTTTCCCTTATTTCACAAAGAAAACAATATTTTATGTGCAACTATTGAAAAAGTTCCTGCAGAGTCAATAAAATATATATATCACAAACATTTTTGAGATTTTTTCCCCTGTAAGTATTTTTTAAATGCATATCCAGAAACTGGGAGAGCAAGTCCACTGAAAGCAAAATACTTGTGTACAGAATTTTGGGTATCCTTGGAAGAGATTTATGTGATCTCCATCAGGGAATTTTAGTTTCACTTGCAAGAAGTTGTGTCCATGCCTCCTTTGCTTTTAGATTTTTCTCTCTTGCCATAACCCACCCTTTTGACTGCCTGTTTAGTCACTAAAGCAAGAAGCAAGCCTTGGCACGCGTGTTCAGTGTCAACTCCTACATCAGAAACTGATCACGGACGTGAGAGATGGAAAAGTCCAATGAAATAATCACAGTTAGCCTCCCCTGGCAAATGCATCACAGTCCCTGCACAGAGGACACAGAGGACACATCTGACAGGAACCAGATGTTACAGGCAGCCATAGCCAGAAGGTCAAGGAGATACCCATGAGGGAGAGCATGTGGCTGCCTGCCTCACGCTTCCTGGACAGCCAGGCTCCATCCCATCAGGCTGGCCAGAGGAAGGAATGACAAGCAGCAGGCCAAACCCTCCCTAATGCACTAGGCAACTGGCTGGAGACAAAGCCAAGAGTCCAGCAGTATCCTGCCTTCTCACCGGTAAATATTTTTTCAGTTGGGAAGAGCTGTGCCAATAAATAATCTGCAACCTTACCTCATAACAAAATATGATCCCCTCCACCAAGATTTAAGTTGAAGCAGATTAAGAAGCACCACCCATTCCCAAGACAGAACACCAAATGTTAAAACAACAATACAGACTTTCCAGCCAAGTATTAAATGATAATGGCACAAAGTAGCTGTATATTACAGATCACTGAAACTCCATTTTGCTGTGAAGACTGCATAAAATTTTCATTTTCCCATAGTTAAAATGGACTGCTACAAAAGCCATTTTTAAATGCATGATCAAACAGAATAAAAATTAAAATTAAAAATTGAAATGTAGACCCTCAGAGTCCTGGATATGAAGCTAGGCCATATAAAATTAAAGAGATGTGATGAGGAATAGAAATCTGATTTGAAGTTTTTTCACAACTCTCTTCATGAAAAAACTCTTGTTGCACATTAGTTTACAGATCAGGTTACACTTTAACCACAGCAATTCTAACTTCTATCTGAAATTTTGAAATTTTTTTCAGTCAGTGACTGGTTTCAGGTACTTTTTCCACCAAGGCATGTACTAATTACATGGTTTCTTCCAGTTTTCCCTGCCACATCACCCTGAATGCACTTGTTCTACACAGTGCACTTGAAAATCAAGCCCACACCTTTGCTGTGGGCTCAAGCCTGCCACTATGACCCACACTTTAGCAACTGCTTCTCTAGCTTACAGACAGGGGATAGACTTCAAAATTGCAAGGAACAGAGATGATGTGCATAAGATGTTGAAGTGGAAATACTTTGTCTACATCATCATCATTAGAAACACTCAGGGAGCTTCCCTCTCCTCACCTCTTACAGGATCCATGTGCCTGGTCTCCTGTTCCTTCATGCTCACAATACAAAATGTGTTCTTCTGCCCATAACAAGAGTCTTAGCAAGAAAGGAAAACTAGGAGAGCAAATAGCTCAGAAATGTCTGAGAGTTTGAAGCTCACGTGTGGGCTCTAAGTAAATGCACACTGTGGCCAAAAGAAGCTCTTTTTCAACCTGAAAAGGAAACTCCCATTCAGCACTCCAGCTGAACCACTGAACCACTCTCATAGTTCTTAACCTCACTTTTGCAAACAACTTTTCTATTCCTACTTATACCTAGACAGACCAATGCTCACTTCTTTTACAATAAAATTGTATGATAGCAGCTCTCTTAAAACAGACACGATGTCGTTCACAGATGGACAACATTAAAGATGATGTGCTGAAATAATGACTGACTGAATTTAGATGACTGAAACAAAATTCTGTTTTCTTACAGGTATTAAGTATTACCCATGTTTTAGCAAGAAAATAATCCATTTTTTTTCCAATATGAATCTACTTGACAACTTCCTTTCAAACTAGAAAGCATAATTCTGACATAAAAAAGGAAGGATTAAAGACATCAGCTCCTATTCTTCACATGTAATACTGAACTGACTTTTGGGGAGTCCCATTTTAAAATTTCAGGAGACATGTCCCTAAAAGTATGTCACTAGGTCATACTTCAGGCACAATGCAGTGAATGTACTTTGAAGAGCTATCTACACAAAGCTTAACAGAATGATAACATCTTAAGTATTTTCTCTAAGATGCTTCTGTCTTTATCTCTCACTTTGTAACTTCTTTTACATTGAACCTATCAATGCAAACAGAACAATGTTTCTTCACGACAACTTTGCACAGATGTGCCAGAATCTTCCAAAATGCTTTCTTCCATTTGTGAACTATTAGAAAACCCAGAAAGCTCAACAGTTCTGAAGGACACGGCTCTGCTGTGAGAACTGAAGGCAAGCAAACCAAAATGGAACAAAAAGAAGTATTAATAATCTGCTCAACTTAAAAAACATGAAGTGGAGAGGGAAAAGAACATTGAGTGTCCATTATTTCAGAGCAAAGCAATGAAATGGAAATGTACCATTATTTATTTTATTCCTTTTTCCTGCCATAAGACAGAACAGGCTTGCTTTAAAGGAGCACATTAAGTCAGATGGTAGATGGCATTATGCTGTTTGTTAGGAGAGCTACCCCTACGTTTTCAAACTTTTCCCAAGGTGGATTAAAACATAGTTCCTCTTGATCATTTTCAAAATATTTTTGCAAAAGTGGACAAGCGAAAAAAGAAATAACAAGTGCATAGCAATACCAAACCTCATAGAAAAAATCTACAAACTTAGTGTTGTGTAACTCATTTAAATTAAAAGAATTTCTAAAGGAAACACTTGTTGTTATGCTGTCCTTTTTAAAAAGAAGAACAAATCATCAGAGCTAGTAGGTAGCTAGTAGGTAATGCAGTAACCACTTAAGAAAGGCATTACATGGTTAAGGTTAGAGTTAGTGCTCCAATGCAAATAGGCCTGGCCAATGGATTACAACAAATAACATTCTGCTACCCTTAAGATAAAATTCTCCTTTCCTGGTATATATTGCAAAACAAATGCATCTCAGTGAAAAAATCATACTCTTCATAAGTTTATCCCTCACTTCCTAAATGAAGTTATGCTACCACAGGTTATACTTCCAAAAAACAGCACACAAACTGCCACCACAGAGGTGTCCTGTTCAGAGAAAGGAAAAGTTACTGCACTGCGTAGGAAAAACAAAACATGAATTGATTCTTTCAAGTCTTTGAAAAACTTAAACATCAACTAACACATTTTCTTACTTGAAATCTTGAAATTCAAATAACAAAAAAAAACAAGAGAAGAAACCTGGTGAACATTAAACCTGTTTTTCATAATCAGCATTTTAAACAAGCAGAAGAATATAAATTCTATAATCATGTTATCTAACAACATTGTCATTCAAATTCAAGTTGCTACAGTACTTCATTGTTAAAAACAATGGTTAGAAACTTGTGCTTAGTTTCTGACTCTCCAACTTCTGGGAATATGAAACAGGATAGTTTTCACTGCATGCATTAGATTTTATCAAGGAACTAGAGTTAACTATCAGAGTGACATCCAGACAGGTTCAGCACAGCTCTGGGATTACTGGCGACACGCTGCTCCAGGCACGCAGGTGAGGAAGAGGAAGGTAGGTTTCCCCTGGGCTCTGCTGATTAGTCCCACAGGCAAAGTACAAACTCTTTTACTGCCAAAAGTTAAAATGAACCTGGGAAGACTTAAGTGCACAAAGCCTCAAACTTAGGCTTCCCATTCTGTTTCCAATCAGTGGCCTGATCCAAGAGGTAAGCTATGGGGAATGCCAAAAAGCAAAGCATGATTATGGGAAAGCATCTGGATGGAAGGAAACAGAATTCTCTCCAGCTATTGACAGCACTGCACAAGCAGCTCTGGGCCCAATCCAGATTTTTTGCTGTGAACCAGTGGAAACACCTCTGGCCACCCTGTCACCCACCCCATCCAGCCCAGAGCAGTCCTCTAGCACAGCCCCAAGCGGTGAGAAATAGCTGAGGAATGAGACACGGCAAGGATCAAGTTCACAGCACTCCATCTCCCAGAGCGCCATATGCTTCCTAAGTGCTGTTAGTCACTTAAAAGCCCAGAGCTGAGACAGGCCTGACAAAAACATCCACAGCTGTGAAAACACGGGTGTGCCAGAGAACTTTCTATCCCAGCTGCTCGGATTTGTTTCCTCCGCCTGTCGGCGCCTCCAAGGCCCGGCGGTCGGAGCCCATCGGTTTGCCTTGGCTGCCACCCTGCGGCTCGGGCTGTCCAACACAAGAGCTGTCCCCAGCACCGAGCCTGCACCCTGCTGCACATGCCCCCAGGACAGTGCCACCCCAGCTGGAGCATCCTGTGGAATCTGGGACTAAGGAACAAACTGTTACGTTCCACAGGAAGTCATACCAACTTCTAAGTTGTGTCTAAAAGTTCCGCAAAAAGCAGACAGGGAGATCGTGCGAATCCTTCGGTTTAAGGCTCCTGAATTTCTTTGAATTCTTTTACGGTTCTCTTCAAAGATTAAGATTGGGATTTCTTTGTCCCAAGAGCAGCAACACTTTCAAACTTTTAGAACACAAATCCAGTGGAAGTAATTTCATGCAGATGACAGTATCACAGGACAAAAAAAAAGAGGGCATTTCTCTTGCACAGAGACAAAGCGAAAGGGAGAGCTAAAACATTTGTTGGATTCCTTTGGTGTAAAATAATGAAGTTAGAGCAGCTGCTGTTACATGTAATATTCTGGTAGAGGTCAGTGTTTGCACCATTTCTGAGCAAGCAGGAAGGAGAAAAGACCCTAAGCCACACTGGCTACCAGCAACCCCAGTGCCACCTGTGACTGCAAGTAGTCTCCCTCTTGGGAACGGCAGCTGAGGGCAGGATCATCAGGTGGGCAGGGATGGGCAGGCAGTGGGGATGCAGGATGAGGCCAGGCAGACAGAAGAGCACTCACCTCACTCTGCAGCTGTGGGGCTCCCCAGTGGCAGCTGAGCACGGCGGCTCCCTGGCGCTGCAGCACGCTCTGCAGGGCAGCTCCTTCTGCCCCGTGTGTCCCCACCAGCAGCACCTTCTTCCCACCTGTGTGACACAAGGCACGGCTCTCAGCCACCCCCAGCGCAGGGCACCAGCACCAGCAGCTGCATGGAGCTCCCCCAGGGCTGCAGCACTGCAGAAGGGGCTGCAGAGGGGCTCAGAACAGGACAGTGCCCTGTGCCTGCACCAGCACAGCAGCTGTGCAGCACAGCTGGCTCTTCTGGAGCCTGTGCAGTGACAGCAACCACAGGAGTTTCCTGGTGACTCTCTAAATTCTAGTAAGCAAATACTGTTCTTCTGGCTTTTTTTTTGCACAAATCCTTTCATTCATGTTTGTTACTAAGTACATTTAATCTCCTGTTTACAGTTCTGCTACAGAAATGCTTGCTTCAACAGTTAGGAATCATTGTAAGAGAGACAACTTCTGACACACTGCCTTAAACCAACAATGTCTTCACACACACTAAACCTGCTTGTTTAAATCTGTCATTTCAGTGTCAGCACTGACACAGCACAATCCAAACGAAAGGATTTGCTCAGCAGCAATTTACAGACAAACCTGGGTTTCCCCAACTCCTCACACTAATCAAGACAATCAAGTGAAATCCCCAACTGATGCTTGTATTTTCTGTTTGGAAGACTCACATGTCTTGTGTGTCTTCAGTGAAATTAAACCTCCTGATGGCAGCTAACCTCTGCCTAATACCCAAAATCTGTAGGCCTGAGACTGTTTCTACAAATACAGCATTCAGATGTCACTGAGCAGGAGGACACCTTGTCACTAGCAGGAGATAAATACATGTCAGGTGGGAAAGCAACACAAAAGAGAAGACACAACAAAGTCAGATTATATTTGGCTCATAGCCAGGATTAAAACAGGCCAAAATTAATGTAATGATTGTGATAGAAGGCTCACCTATATCTTCAAGAAGCTCCATCACAGCACACACTGTAGGAGGAACCAGACAGTCACAGACATCACCATGTACCAAACGTCCTAGGTTTACACTGGATAATCTGCAGTGGAAAAATATGGCAATTTAACATAAAAAAGAGCTTGCATAGCATAAATCCCCAGCAATGCTTGTAACATGGCTAAGAGCTAAATCCCAAGAGCAAACATCTCTCACAAAAGCAAATCCTTTGGCAGTCATGTACTGCAGCTAATTTGTATCATCCCACACCTCAGCTAGACAAACACTGAGCCTCAAGAGAGGCCAGGAAAGGGATCTGAGTTAGAATGAGTAACACAATCCCAGGATACACAGGCAGCTCTTTACTTGTCACCATGTCACCCACAGCACACTGGGCACAAGCACTTCAGTGGCTGCAGTGAGACCAGACTGGCTGCCAGAGACAAGCTGGCAGAGGAGGGGCAACCCAGGTGTTCCCATACTGACAATCTCCTGTACTCCACATAATGCAAAGGTTTTTGAAGGATTTTTAGATATTTTTCCTGACATGAAAAAAAAAAAAAAAGAAGAGAGTGGGATAAAAAAATGGTAATAGCCTGCAGCTAAGAGCAGGAAGGCTACAAGAGCAGCAAAATGATAACTCACAAACCTAAATTACACCAGTGGTCTCTTCTGAGAGCAGTACGACTCAACACTGATTGGAAATCTGTGCTAATGGGTCCAAACTATTATAGCTTACTCTCTCACCACAAGAGAGTGCTGTAAGGAAGTTAAAACCTCTCTGCAATTTTTCCATCAATCCTTCTTGTGAAAATTCAATACTTTGTGCCTACCACTTGTATTACTGAAGTGATGAAATACCTTAAGTATCGTCAGTAAATCAAGATTTCATTTCTTATTTCTTTGAAAGGACTATGTCCTGAATGTACATTATGTAAAAAATAAAAAGATAATGCCCAAAACTACTTCAGCAAAGACTTCTCATTGATTCAGAGGCATCTTTTATCACTGCTCAATAGCACAGCTAGACACATTGACTGAGGAATCCATTAATGAAAAGCAGAGGAGAAAACTGATTTTACAGAGCCATCAGGCTTGTGCCTGCTAATATTATTTCTCAGTGCTCCACTTACCCATCCACATCCTTTTCTGGTTTCACAGCATTTAATACCTTACTGCTGCATAAGCTTTCTGGGAGGTCAAGAGCAAGGCCCTGCACGTTAGGATCCTCATTGAGCCTCAAGATTTCACTGACAATCTAGGAAGTTAATAAAAAACATTAAAGATCAGAACAACAGATAAAAGGAGAATATGATTAGAATGAGGTAAAACCTGTAATTTTTTTCAATTACTTTATGGCCTCCTTGGCTTCTCTGGCTTATTACTGTAAATTCCAAATGAAAAAGCTCTACTCAGTTTGTTATCAGTGGCTTAACAAATTAAGCCACCCTGACTCTATTCTAAACATCTTGCAAAGCAAACACATATTATGTGACATTGTGCTGCCAAAAGCAGTTTGTGTTTCAGCACTCCAAACCTCAGCAAAAGCCTGTCACTGTAATGGCTTCTGAAGTTGCTTTTAGACACAGGGCACCTGAGTTAATACATAGGGCAAAACAGGACCAGATCAGACCCCAATAGAGGGACAAAAAGCTGTAACACTTGAAAGAACAATTATACAAGAAAAAAAATCATTTTATTAAACCAGCATATATGGTTAACAATTTTCCTTCTCAAAACACCCCAATCCTAAGAGCTGGCAATTGCCTTGTGAAGAACTGTTAGGCTGAAAAGGCACCACAGAGAAGTTTATGGAGTTCAAGTTCTGAACCAGATGCAAGTTCAAGTGGTTGATAATTGGTCATATCTGAGACTGTCCTACCGACCCTTGATTCCCTCCTCTCTAAAATATAATGCTGATTCATGCTATTCTGCTGTGACCAGAAAGAATACAAAGGAACAAAACATGTCAAACATGTTTTTTTAGGTGAGAAATGTTATGCAACCATGTCTTCCCATCCTATATACAAAACCACTGTGCAAGCATCATAAAGCTTTATAATAGAATTGGATTAATATCCAACAGAAAAGGATTATAATTAGTTTTTTTTCCCCCTTAACTAATACCATGCCTTTTAAAAATGCTTTTCTTGTAAACTATTCATTGTAATTGTGAACTCTATTACCCAAACACTTGATATGCAATCAACCTTAAGCTAGGAACTAGGCAGGAGTTAGATTAGCTGCAACTCTGAACCAAGAGAACACACTACTTTCATGCTAAACACAGATTACAAAAGCATGTCACAGGTACAGAAATGCCTCTTTAGTTTCCTGACTCCTGGGGCAAAACCAGGCATATTTAAGGTCTCATGGCACTTGACAGCAACAGGACTGGTATACATTGCACTAGAAAGGGTGAATGTATATGGACATGAAAATATCTGCATTTTTCTTTTAAAAATCCCCTTTGATATGGTACAAAATGCTGAGAGCCTACGGAGCAATTAAAAACTCAAGCTGTATTTATGCCTCCTGGAAAAGTAATTCACTTTTCCATTTTAATTGCATCTTACTTTAATTCAGCTTTCCATCATCACAGCTTTTAAATTACTTATAACTCATGCAGGGTAAAGTAGTATAGTATTAACTTGACTTTATTGTACACAGGAAGTTATGACAAAACCCAAATGTGCATGGGATTGAAATCCCTCCCACCTTCCCACACCAGGGAACACAACTGAGATGTGGATTTTAGCAGATGAAGAAAAACTGCCATAGTGAGTAAGCAAGACAGTCAGCAAATCATGATAAATTTTATTGGAAATAACTTCCTTTAAATAAAAGAAGTACCCCAATTTTCTCTTTAAATACACAGCTAAGCCACTTCTAAGATACGACTTCAAACTAACTGCAACTACTGCTGCACAGTCACTGTATTTTACATATTTCCTGCTATATTACTCAACAGATAAAATGCATTTTCCAACAACAAAGTGTATTTGTTTTTCATTACAAAAGCCCCCTCTTTTTAAATGGGTAGCTGACTATCCATAATCTACAAAACTTCACAGTAAATTCCTTTTAATGTACCTGGAAGCAGTTCTTGAGATTACACTGCAAGGCAGTAACATTTTAAGAACAAAGTGTACCAAAAAACAAAAGAGCACACAGAACTCACAAGCCTGCAGGATTATCAAACTTGCCAAGCACAAGGAGGCCAGCTGATAACAGTCTCATCTTCTACAATACATTCCTTCACTGTTTAATTTTCACATGAATTTCTATATTTAAAACATAATTGATATTAAGTGCTGCACCTTCAACAAGGCAAAGAATTCAGGCCTCTAGTTATTTGGGGGGGATGTTTCTTTTTTAATACACAATTGAAACATTAAAAGATCAATAGACAAATTCAACATCCCCTTCATTTCCCCTCCCTTCCCCATATAATCATGCAATCTATAATTTCCCTGAATAATCTGGGTAATAATCAGGTACAGTCAGAAGAGCAACTGTGGGAGACACGATGCCTGAGCTGGTGTGGGGTTCAACACCAAGCACAAACCCAAAACATTACTCTTGATTCTACCCCAGCTTGCCAGGGAACAGCAGACATGCCCATTAATTCTCTTTTTTCATTCTTGCCAGTAAGGGGATGTTATGGTTTAGGCCTGGCAAAGCCAAGGCCCCCATAAATATACCTTTTACCTGATATCTGCTGTGAGATGTGGCCAGGAAATAAGCAAAGCAGGCTCCAACTTAAACATAAAGAGAAGTTTATTAACTAAACTACACACACAATTACTAAACTACACACACAATTACTAACCTACACACACACAGGGAAAAAAAAACAAGGAGAATGAGAACTACACAGAAACACTTCCTTATCCTCCTCCCACCAAATTCCCAAACACATTTACATTTCCCAAAAAATTATCCACACTCGGTCTGGCACCACCCTTTGGAAAAAAAAATCAAATCTTCAGCTCATAAGGGATAGACGGAGTCCTTCCTTGTGCCACGGACTTCTTGTCACAATCAGCAATCCGCCCGGTATCTTGCTACCTCGTGACATCTCCTTTCCATGCCGAGGTGCTCTCACCACCTGGCATGGGATGGGGCAGGGGCCTGCCTTCAGGGCCTTTTAAGAATGCCTCGTCTCGTTCCAAGCAGAGTACAGTCACAATCCTGGGACCTCTGTCCCCCCCCATGTCTTCTATACCCCCTGGGGCCGAGGGGTCTCAAAACCAAACTCTCTTGACGCCGAGCCTCCGCTTCCCCCTGCAATACAGCCTCTGCCTCACCAGGAAACAGTCCATGGAAATACAACAAAAAAGAGTCCAGCAAAAACTGCCACTCCATCTTCCTCCATTCCTTCAACATCTCTCTTCTCCCTTTGCCAGACCCTCCTTACTGGCCTAATTTTCTTCCTTCATCTTCCACTCCTGTCCCTTTCCCAGGAAAGGCAATGTTCTGCGAAGCCTTCATTCCCCAAAGGGTTAAAAGGTCTCCCAGGCGGCCGGACTGCCCGCTGCCCCCCCCCCCCTTTCTCCTCCCAGCCGTGCTGCCTGCCGGCACATGATATCAAGTTTCAAGATATACAGTTCGAGCACGGGCTGCATTCTCTGGGGGGGGGGAATAAACTGGTCGCTCAAGGGTCTGCCACCCTTCCTCCGAACCCGGGCCTACCGTAGATGGCCCACGTGGCTCTCCCCTCCCCCAGCCCAGCCAGAAACTGGGCCGGGGGAGAGACTTCTTCACGCCGGAAATCCCAAGAGGGCTCCGAAGGCCAAGAGCCCTGCTTTTAACCCCTTGAGTTCGTAGTCTCAAGAGGCGGATCCAAATGTCCCACTGGTCAAACTAAGTGCCCATCTTAAATTCCAATTACCCATTGGTAATCACAGCAAAACAAAATATCCCAGATGTCCCATTTCCGGTCAAACCACGACAGGGGATAATATTTGCTATTTAAACCAAGGCAATCCTAAGCCTAATTTGAGTTACCAGAGGTCAATCAAAATAATAATGAATGTCAGTAATAAATAGAAGTTTATGACAAAAATGGAAAAGGAAGGCTCTTTCAGGTACTTCAGTTACCTCATCTTTGGTGCTGCCTTCAGGAAGACAGATGTGAATAACATGTAGACCAATCTGTTGAAAGAAAAGACTTAAAATTACCAAAGGGAAGGAGCTCATGATTGTTAACACATGTATGTATCAGCTAAATCTTACCTCTTTGGCCAAGTTCTTGTTTGCTTCTTGAGTCAACTGGTCATTATGTGCCTGGGGGAACAAAACAGTAACTGAGTTTTAAAACAATACATTTTAAAAATGAATACATTAATGCACATCTATGCAAGAAACACAGTGACAATGTCTGTGTCTAAAGTACTCAAACTAATAAGAAACAATTCTAAGAAAGAAGCAGAAGGCCATCCCTGATAATCCCTAATAGCTCAAGACTGCTGACAGTGAAAAAAAGAGATTAAAAAGCACAGGCTTCATGGAGAGGCACAACTCCTGTGAGGGAAGGAGGGCTTTCCCTCTATCCCTCCCTGCACTGCCAGCATTCCTGGCACTGCACCACCAGCATCCCACTCCCCAAATGTCACACCTGGTGCTGAGTGGCAGCACAGAAGCTGCCACACTGAGGACACTGTGCAGGGCTCAGTGAGAGTTCTAGGGACAGCCCAGCAGCTGCTCCCCTGTGACAGCAAATGTGGGACTGTGCGCCCACACTGACTGCTCAAGAAGTTTAACTGGGATGGAGCCACTGGTGGTACCACACTGTCGCCTGTAATGTCCCTGCAGCACTGGCAGGTGAACACTTACCTTGTGTGAGTGCAGACAGTCCCTGCCCTAAACCAGCCCCTATCAAAACCCACTGAGCAGCACAGGTGAGGCCAGAGCTCAGCACATGGGCTGCACAGTGCAAGGGCAGGGCAGGAGGTGCAGGGGAGCCAGTAGTGCTTTGCTGAGCTTTGCAGGGCAACAGCTCCACTGTTAACCATCATCCTGATGCTTTACTTTTCAGTATCAAAAAAATTAAGAAGCACCCCCCATCATTTTTTGCTGTTGCATAGCTTCAACCAAGGTTCAACATGGATAATGATAAGCAACAGAGGTATCAGTTTTGGCATTGATTCAGATTCAGTTGACTCAAGAGGAAAAGGACAGTCCTAAAATCATTCCACTGCAGGTTCAGCCTGCAGCTCCTCATTCCCAGCCCTGCAGAAGAGGGGGTGCCCTGTCATGCCAGCTGCTGTTACTCACAAGTAAAGCAGGTGACTCCCCTGCCCTCCCTCTGCTCCTCTGGGCAGATGTGGCACATGGGGAGCAGCACAAACATTAAGGCTCTGCCCACACTACTGGTAGAGCAGAGCATGCAAGAACATCTGCACACCAAAGCAAGTTTTCTTTGCACCAACAAATACACATTTAAAATGGGCTCTGCTTCAGTCTTCACAACTAGACCAGAGTCAGAGTGGCTGGAAAGCTGGAGAACAGAGCTTGGGTGAATTTTACCCAGAGGGATCTAGGCCACATGTTCCTACAGGCACCTCACGAGGCAGACCAAGTGAGGTAAACAGGGACAAGAGGGACATCCCTTCTATTGTGCCAGCACAAAACATGCATGTGGCCATGCAGAAAACCAGACCCAGGAGACAAACATGGTTGAAAGGAAGTGTCTTTAGACCCCTTGGGCTGGAGTAGATCCCAGTCTTAGTCCAGATCATGGTGCAACTGGCTGGAGACTAACAAGAGTGAGAAAAAACAGGTCACTGCTTTTTCCTATCAATCCTTAAGCTTTAGCCCTAGAGGCTCTGTGAAAATGCAATTATCAAGAAGGGTGAGAGATGACAGAGTCTGTTCAGACAGCCTCACTAAAAGACCTTCTGAAATAAAGCTGTTGTTGCATTACTTAAATTCACTATCAGTACTTTAAAAATACTTACAGTTGTGTTTTAAACTTAAAACCTACTGGGTCAGTTTGAGTGTGTGCCCACTCAAAATCAATACCACCATCCTAGGAAACAGGACAATTACATTTTTGCCAGCATGGCAGTGGGTCCCCTCTGAATGATAAACATCCCTAATTTTGTGGCTTTCAAACCTTCAGAAATCTAAGAATGAACAACTTTCAGCTTTGCAAGGATAGCAATCCTCATCTCTGATTTTGATTGCCTATCAAAAATGGCACCATCCGTGAAATGGAAATCTCTTCACACAGCATTAGTGAAACAATGGTTCTCAATTCTGCAAGATTCCTTCACATCAGAAAGTGCTGCTACTTCTACAGGATGCTGACACTTTACACCTATTTCACACAAACCCTTCTGAGCTGACTGGGAGTTTTTAGTGTGGTTTTCCTCTCCTTAGAAGAGCAGGAAGACATTGATAAGCTGTAGCTACCCAAAGGTAGCATGGCTGACAGGGAGCAAAAGGGTCTTTCATTAATCCTGGCATTGTTATTTCAGGAGTGGGAAGTGAAGGGAGCCCACATTTTCAGGAATGTAAGGACTTTGCTCAGGATTGCAAAAAAAGCTTCATGCTAAATAAAGGTTTGAGAACACTAATTCAACTATTAAGTTAATCAGCTTAGACAAGGTGTGAGAAAAAGTGATCCATACTTAAAACAACGAAGATTATATTGGCAAAAGGAAGAAGGGATAAAACTGTTCCTTTCCTTTGCAAAGCCTTGCCAGGCCTGAAGAAAGACAATTTACCATCTGGTGGAGCTACCTCATCCTATTGCTTTGCTTTATAATAAAGTAGACAATATTCTTTATAATAAAGGATTAAAATTACTTTCTGCAGGGTGTGCTTCTCAAGTTTCAGACAACTAATGGTACCAAAGGAGATCTCTCACAGCCAGTGAGTGCACAGACATACTTTACCTGAATAATGGCAAGCGTTGGCTCAAGCCGGGGGTTTTTTCTCTTAAGAGAGGCCAAGGAATTCTTTGCATTGTCAGTAACTTTGCTGCAACACAGTGACAAGCAAATCTTTAACAAAATAAATCCTCCTAACATTAGTGGGCAGAAACCAACATTAGTCAACAATGTAACAGAAATGCTTGGGCTTGTAAATTTTCAATCTGCAAAGTTATGGTTGGATGTGAACTGTGAGGGCTGATGCTCAGCAGGCAGGTACAGAAAACCTCAAAAGGCCATTTTTTTTTTTTAATAGGTATGTGGGGCATTGCCCTGGCATGCCCAAAACTTTATAGCTAGGCTGTGCTAATTCATGAGAAGGCTTGTCCAGCCCCACCATGGGAAGGGAATCAGCACCATGAGCTGTCTGATCAGCTCTTGGGTGAGGTGGGTCCTTCATCCCCATACCCTTGGCCAGGGCAGTGGGAGATGCAGAGGCCTTTACAGCTGGGGCTGCCACGGCTTAACCCGGGCTATACCAACCCCTGGGCAGCAGAGAGCCACTTTCATGGATGCCTTTCAAAACCACTGGCAGAAGGGAGACAAGGCAGCTCTGTTTCCCACATTACTTCTTGGAAAAACTAGTGACAGCCAGGCACTGGGAATGCTTTCTGGAAAAAAAAATCTGGGTAAGTGGCGGCCAGCTCGCCTCTGTTAACCTTTTGCGGGTGCAGGTGGGCAAAGAGGAGACCCCCTACAATATGTCTGTCTGTCCCCCATACCAAGGAAGACAAACAGAGAAGAACAGCCTGGAGTGGATTTTTGACAGCTCCTACCCTTGCAGAAGCCAAGGACCAGTTCAATTCAATGTCGTTGCAAACTATCCCGTCCAGGGCTGAACCGGGACGAGAAGGGACCAGGGGCACGTTTTCCAGGCACACATCTGCGCACCGCCTCACCTGAGCCACGCCACATGACGGCAGCTCTGCCCGCTCCCAAAACGCCACCAAAACCAAAACCCGGAGCAAATCCCGCCAGCGCTTCTGGGCGAAGGGGGGCATCTTCCTACGGGGTGCCCCAAAAATCCCACCTCAAAACCCAACCCGACGCACCCGGGGAGGGCGCATCGCCCAAATCCCTCTCACCCCTCCTCCCTGCGTGCCCACACCATCGCACCCCCCGGTTGCATCAGCCGGCGCTGCCTCCCCACGTGCGCCTCTTACCGGGCGGCCGCGGCCGCGCTGCGGGCCCGGGGCAGCGGCGCGCTCAGCCCGCGGCGCGGCGGCAGCGGGAGCGGCGGGGCTGGAGCGGCGGCGGTGAGTGCCGGGGCCAGGCAGCGCCGCAGCGCCGCGCTCCTCATGGCTCCGGGGCGCCCCGGCAGCCGCGGCGGGCACGGGGCAGGGGCAGGGGCGGGGGCGGGAGCGAGGCCGGGGGCGGGCGGGGATGGAGCGCCGCCTGCCCCGCTCCCCGCCCCGCCGCGCCCCCGCTGTCGCTTCCGCTTTTTCTTTGCAAGAGAAAAACTGCATCCACATCACCCCCGAACAGCAGCTCCGACAGGATGAAGCCAATAACTTCATTCTTGCGCGCCCCGCAATGAAAAGCACCCAAAGCTTTTGCATACTCAACGTTTATTAAAAATAGTATGAAATGGTCCCTGGGAGAAGTTACAATACTAGTAAAGTCCCTTTTTTCTGGTTGGTTGGTTCTTTTCCCCTCCCTCCCAATTCCATTGATTGCATGAGATGCGAGTTAAACATTCTCCTAAAGCCGTTTAAACAAATCTAGACGCGCGCCCACAGATTTACCTTCTATTCATATTTACAATACTTTACAAGCTATATTAAATAAATATGGGCTCTGCTACACCTCCGCGTCTTAAATATGTACAACATTATTTTTCAGTCGGATTTTACTAGATAGACAGGGGTCCTATCACAGGGGCTGTGCTGACTGTAACAAGTACCCCTGTGGTACGAGCTAGTAAGTACCATGACCAACCAGCCCTCAAAATAACAATTCCTAGCCAATGCAAGATACGTGTGGTAAATAATTTAGTCAGTTCTAATAAATTCAAGTCCTCAAATCTTAGTCTACAATTATTTAGCTGTACACTAATAACTTCAGTTTTTCCTCATGGTAACCAATGTAGTAAATAAACAGCTGTTCTGGAAGTACAGTGCTCTGTAACTGAGGGGAGTGATACGTGGTTAGTAAAAACAGTATTTCAATGAAATTCCTTTGTTTATTGATATGTTTAACTCGGTACTGGCTTTATCCATGTAATCTGAAAAATGTAAGCACCAAAAAAGAACAGCAGTCACACAAGATGATCAGTGTAGATGTATCTAGGCTTTCCTTTCGGTACAATGTTTTCAAGTAACAGAATCCAAAACTGTGCAACAAAGATGATGAAGGGGAGTTAAGTGTAGATGGTACTGGAAAGCCTGTCCTTGCTCTAAATGGCAGCTTTTATTCTACACACTATTTGCAAAAGAATGGAATGTATTCTCATTTTTAAGCTACTTTTTTATTGTACATAAATTGGATTAAAGTCAGCACGGACTGATTTACAAAAGATATCTTTTACCTCTCTCTGTCAGGAAGTGTCACTTCCTGCTGTAGGAGATGCATGCCCTGGGGACTGCAGCTTGTCACTCAACCAGCAGTATCACTGAACCACCCTATGGGCCAAATGTGCCCCACAATTAGTATCTCGCCCAAGAATCTGGCCAAACCTCATTGTCTCACAGGGTTACTGACACTGGGGCTTGAACAAGTGCCCAGCAGCTCACTGCGAGTAACACACAGCTTTGTTTCAAACTCTACCCAGCAGCTTTTGACAGCTGGGTGCTGAGCTACAAGACACTCAGATTTGGATTGTTGTCACAAATGCCACCATCACTGGAGGTACCAAGACTGGCCTAGCCCTCTTGAAAAGCAGTGCAGCTCGCTTCTAATGCCAAAACCATTCCCCAGGCAAGGACAGGTTCTCATAAAAAGGTTCTCATAAAAAGCCTCCACTGCCTGTCTTCTGCCTCCTATGCAGTTCCAGTAAGTAGAGAAGAGGCTTCAGACACAGAGCTATCAGCTTGGCGCAAGAACTAGGACTAGATTTTCTTTAAAATGTAAGAAGCTTGCTCTAAAGTAATGTAGTATATGCATTGGTCCCACACACTTGGAATCTGCCTGATGAAAAGTAACGTGCAAAAAGGTGTGTGCAACTGCACACGTAGCTGTTGGTGTAATCACCAGAACCCTGCTCAGAAATCTGAACAGTCACAGGAGCAGCTGCCCAGCTAAATGCTCCTGTATGCAAGCAGAGTAATCATACAGGTGTTTTGGATGCAGAACACTGGACACCAACTGGAAAGTCTAAATACCAAAGTTTCCAAATGATAAAATGGCTTAAGAATCAAATGTTATTACACCTGGTTGGATGGCAAGAATCAGGGGGTATCACACCTAAGAAAGGAAGAGATGTGAAGGTCCAGTAGGAGATGAGAAGTTCACATGTGCTGCAGAGAGACCCCAGACAGTGCACATGGCCTTTTTCACATCCAGGATTCTAAACCATTTTTTAAAAGATACATTTTGCATCTATTTACAACATTATTGCAGTACAATGCCTGATAGTGTAATATTATGGAAATACGTGATGCCAGTACTGATTGTCCTAGTATATATTCTGTCATGATAAGGCAGTACAGCTAGAAATTACTGAAAGCATCAAGCAAAGCTACTTGAACTGAGACACTGAAACTTTTCCCTTAAAGACTGGACAATATTCTGCTGATTAGGAGATGGTACTCTCCATAGGTAGTCATTCAGTTTATCCGAATCACTGTAAGCAGTCAGATATGGGGTAAGTGTGTGTTTGCTGCTGGCAGACTTTGCAGGAGTACAGGAGACAGTTTTGCCACAGAACATTTCAGAAGGAACAGCATCTGTGTTACGCAGTTTAGGATCTGATTTCCTTGTCTGGTTCTGAGAAGTCTCCAAGTCAGATCCCTCATCTTCAGACTTTATTTCAACATAGTCATCATCATCCCCTTCTCCGTCTTCAGAATCTTTGAAATTCGAAAAATAGTTCTGAGTAGCCATCTGTGCTGTCAGAGGGGAGGCTCTGTTCACTCTTAGGACCTTTTGAGAATCCTGCAGAATCATATCTGAATAGTTTTCAGGGATCTGCTTTCTCATCTCAGGCCCTGTATATCCTGAAGCAATTCCAGGAGTTTGATGGCTGTTGAATCGAAAGTTCCTATTCAAATGGAGCCTTTTCTTATCAATTTCATTATTATATACAATTGATTCTCCAGACCTGTTGACCACTATTGAGGAAGAGGACTGTGACCTGCTGTATGTCTGTGGTTTTACACTGCTTACTCTCCTCCCCAGCGAGTTATAGACGTGATCTTGGTGCAAGTTTTCTTTGTTTGGCTGGCTTATAATGGCACTCCACCTCTGCGCCGGGACGTGCAAACGGTTGGAAATTTGAAGGGAAGGCACTGAGCCAGCTGATGGCAACTGCTTCAAATTGCTTTTTGTACCAGCTTCTGTAAATGAGTTCTTGGAGTTTGGGTCCTGGGATTCGGAGCACGGAGAGAAGTCGGCCAGCTCGCCGTTACTGTAGGTAGAATGCAAAAGCCAATCTTCTGCTCTTGAGCAGTCACAGGCAGGCTGGGAACGGGGAGGAGACATGGGTGTGGAGAACCTCCCAGCTGATGGCTCCTGAGGAGTGGCCCCGGCTTCCTTCTGAACCTTAGGTGTACTGTCTCTGAAGACAATTTGGTCATAAAGCTGGGAATATTCAGCTATTCTGGCACCTAGAAAGAAGAGAGAATTAGCTTAGCAGAGACGAGGAATCCATTTCAGCAAATCATGCAAAAATTTAAAAATCTCAAAACCCTTAGTATTAAAAAGCTCTTAGAGAAAAGCTTTCAGTTGTGTCAATAAATTTGGCCTCTGCAAAGTAACATGAAACACTGGAGGCCTTTGCATCACATTTCAGTACACTTTGTTGAGGAAAAGAAGCATAAAATATTTTGCTACAGTGAGCAGTCACGCAGAACACAATGCAGCACATGGTTCCAATAATATGCTGCTTGTTTCATGTTAAAATGGAAAAGAACATTCTAAAAATGGCCTGGTAAATAAGATAT